GAATCGGATTTATTGGAAGGTTGCAGTTGGCAAGTTGCCGGTGGGGCAAAGAGACTGCCAAAAAGGGTCCAATAAGATGGATCGAAATTTGGTTATTAGCATGTCATCCGAGGGTGCAAGCGAACAGGATGAGAACCTGGCACTGGAGGACGATGCTGATCAGTCAATGGGTGACGGTGCGATGGTAGTTCTGGTGTATGATCCAAGGACGCTGATTCAGTCGCCAACAACTGATTGGGTTATGCGTCGTGGTCTGACCGATCGTTCCATCTGGCCAGCAATGGCGTACACAGCACAGAGAATATGTGCTGAAATGGTTCAAGTGGATGAACTGAATGCCCAGTTGAATACTGGGAGACTCCTTTTTGAAAGGAGAGATCAAGGATATTATTGTGATTTGCATCATTCGTTCCATGACAATCCGTGCTTGCCGGTGGTGGGAAATTATCCTCTTTCGGTGATGGGTGCACTGCTTTCTCCTGGCCTGGAAAAGGAATTCAGAAATACTGAAAAGTTTGGAACTGCTATGGAGGCAATAGCCTATGATTGGAGTCGCAGTCCAGGCATGGAAGTTCATGTGGAACTTATGGCAAGGGTAGCCAATCTGGTCGCTCCATTCCTTAGACTTGGAGGCCAAGGGACAGTGGTGAATTCCGAGTTTCTCTGGCAGCACGGGAGGGATCAAATGATGGAGTTCCTTCAGGCAGCGACCTGCGCTGATCAATTGGAAGTTCTCTGGAGAAGAATGGACGACGATGCTGATGAGGAAGTGGATCCTACAGGAATGGTGCTGGAGATCCCCGATCAACAAGATGCGGTACTAGATCAAGGGAACAATGAATCCCTTATTCCCATTGAAGATGCTGGAGGTGAGACACTTGGTGACACTGGAAGGGATGGCAAAGCGCCAGAAGTCTCTCCGGAAGAGGAGACATCCAGTGGGTCGTCAAGACTGGCGGGCACAAGGATTTTCTTGTGGTCAGTGTACTCTCGCGTTGCTTCCAACTTCTCTACGCAGGACCGCACTACTGGGAAGATCTTTGACAGCACAAAGGGGTATCCTGGTGAAGGACCAAACAATGGTGACAATCCTTCCTCTAAGAGGAACTTACCCTGGATCTCTGAAGACTACCTCGATGAAGTGGTGTCAAAAAAGATGGAAAGGTCTTCAGATATGGATGGGCTGGAGGGGTTTGTTCCGGGAAGTGAGGGATCGTTGGAAAAGGTAGAGGTGGAGAATGTTACTGCCTCTAAAATTCTTATGGCTCTTTGGAAAAAAGGATATAGAGCTGGGTATAGGAGGTTGTGTCGTTTGAACGTATCTGGATGCAAGGTTGGAACCGTGAAGCGTCCAATCAAAAGGGTGCAGAAGATCGGCACTAGGAAAGCCTTCATGAAGAAGTTCAATGTTTTTGGATCGTCTCAGCGTGGCTCAGGAGCTGGCGGAAAACCAATCATGAAGGTGGTAGGACCAAGGCCAGGTTTTCCAGCTGTACTCCAAGCATCAAATACTGATAGCACCTGGGGTGAAGGGAGCAGTTCTCAGGCACATGGCAATGTTCATGTAGAGCAGAATCGCCCTATGGACCGGTTCGAGGCGGAGCGCTTGGAGAAGAGGAAGAAAGGCTTCTGCTATTGGTTCAGTAAGGGAAAAGATCGCTGCAAATTTGGTGAAGACTGCAAATTCATCCATTCAGAAGATGATGTGGTGCTGCATTCGTATTGGTGCAAATACTATGTGGCGAGGAGACTCTGTTTCGCTGGAAAGACGTGTGCGTTCTCGCATGATGCAACTGGTGTGAGGTGCATTCAGTTTGCTCAGTCTGGGAAGTGTCGTTATGGTGACAGGTGTGTTTTTGAGCATGGTGATCCGCTGAATGAACAGAGGCCAAGGTCTCCGAGGACGCCCCCAAGGGATGGTCCAAGGAGAAGTTCTGGTGCAAAAGGTGGGGAAGAGGAGATCTCTCCTGAACAGTTCGATGATGGTGAGGAGTATTCCATGACTTATGACGATGACACCAAAATGTCGGAACTGTTGATGGAAGCGATTTCATTTCTGTCCAATGGCAAAACAGACTTGGCTCGAGCAGAGGCGGACCCACTGTTCAAACTCCTGAAGTTCAAGGGAGATGCTGACCAGATGGATAGAGAATGGGTTTCGTGGACCGACGATATGTTGTCCGTGCTGGAACTTCACGAAGTAGTGAAGTCGTATGAGGTTTCGCTCGAGGAGGTGGAAGAATGGGTCAATGACCTGAGGATATGGTTCGAGCGAGCCAACGTGGAAGAAGAAAAAGATCCCACAAGGGGCAAGAAGAGGTCCCTAGAAAGGGAGTCCAGCAAAGATATTCCTGCCGAAAAGGAGGTGGTTGAGACTTCTGAGACGGAGGTTTTCGTTGAGGAGGAGGCAAAAAAGGTTAAAAAGAAGAGGAAAACTGCAGTTATCGAAGATCCTTACACTCTCCTGGTTCCAAAGCCTAAGAAGATGCCGGCGACCATTGAGAAGAGTGGATCATCATCCAATGCGGCGGTTTCTGCAGGGGAAAAAGCCTCGAGAATGCGCACAAAGTCAACCGTCGGTGGAAAGGCGAAGAAGAAGGAGAAAAGTCAGAGTCCCAAAAAGGGAGAAGTGGTGGTGGTGAAAGGTCCTGAGGAAAAGGATCGTCCTCCTGATGTGGATGCGCAAGCGTCTACAGCTGTGAGTGCAGAGCTGGGTCAATCTTGCCAAGCGATTGAGGACGCAAAAAGAGAAGGATTGGTATCCTCAATTCAAAGGGGCGTACAGGATCCTGTTCTTGCAGTTTCGGACCTGGAGTATATTCTGCTGCAACTTCACCTCAAGATTGCCAACAATCGGAAAAAGAAGTGATTGGATGGTATGGATGAAGGGATGGTTTTTCTCTTTCTGGAGACAGGTGCGCTGGAACAGCCAATGTGCTGACAAATGTGGTGGTTACTATTAAGGGTATGGAAATCCCTGATAGTAGAAGTCAGTAGCTTTTCGCGTAGCGAAGACCACGGTTTGTGGTGAAGAAGGCCAAGGAGTCTTCAGTGATGAGAGGATCATGGTGAAAAAAGATTCTCTATGGTTAGTGGATTTAGCCAATGTGCTATAATTTCGTCCTGGTAGACGTAAAACCATATTGTGCATTTCAAGCAGCTGGCTGCTGCCCTAATGGCAGTTTTTGGCCAAAGATCTGCACCTCCAATGTGTCCTAGGAAATCCTAGGACAGGGGGAGTGCGGAGCTGCAACTGGTATTGTAGAAAGGAGTTAGTGTTGGGAGTTGGAAGGGTCAATGTACCCGGAAATCATTTATGGCTCAAGATGGCCGAGAGCCGTCAGCTTTTGTTGAAAAAGTACGTACGCTTGGGGTTGGGTTTAACGGGTTGGAGTAGTCCCGTCCCTTCTCCCTTATCTTGTCCCCTTAGGGTTGGGTGTTCTTGTTTCTGGTTCGATCTGGGAAATCTATATAGGCGACTGTTGAGGGTTGGTTTCTTTCCCTGTTCCCTTTCGGTTGCCCCCGTATAGGGTTTAGGGTTTAGGTTTTAGGCGGATGAGGGTGTGGGGTTTCGGGTTTAGGCCTCTTTTTCTGGTCGGTTGTTGCTGCTGTGCTTCTTGGCTCAGGTTCTACAACTGTACTTCGGGTCCATCCGGTTTGGGGTGCACTTCTTCGTTTTGGCTGCGTTTCTCGCGGGGATTGGGGTTTTCCCAGGGGTGCGTGGGCTTCGGGTGTCTGATGCGCAGTCTCTGATGTAGGTGGCTCAGTTCCACACCCAGGTGCGCTGTGCCCTAAACCCTGAACCCTAAACCCTAAACCCCCAAAAGCCACATTAGCCACTCGCCCACGAAGGTCAAGCAGGGCCCAAACTTTTCGGGGGAGATTCAAGAAAGGCTCTTGACACCCTGAATCCTTTAGCGCCCCTACAGCCTAAATTTCCCCCCCAAGCCCCCCGTAACACCTAAATTTCTTCCCCCCCCCCCCCCCCCGGCCTCTCCCCCCCAAAGCAACCCCAAACCCCGAAAACCTTCGAAATCGCCGGCGCAAGTCAAAGCAGGGGCCTAGGACAAGGGGGGGCCCAACCGCGGCGTCTCAAGCCGCCAAGGCCGGTCTCTTTCCTTTGTTTGAGTTTTTAAGGGAGGGGGTGTAAGGGGTCTAGGTTGTTTTGTTTATTTTGATTTTTTTTCCACTTGTCTTAAAGGGGTTTGAAGGGTTTCAGGAGGGTTCAGGGGGCGAGTTGACAGAGAAAAAAACATTGTAGGGTCTAGGAGTTTTGGGGCCCGGGATTGGTTTTTCAGTTTTGTAGCAGCTGGACTCTCATTGGTGTTGGGCCCTTGCTCTTGGCTTGCACGGTGTTAGCACTGCGATCGTCACTCTCATCGCCTGTGACATGATGGCCTTCCTTCTCTTCCCCATTTTGCCCTTCGGGGTGTTCTCATCATGAGTTTCAGCTGCTGCTCGTTTTGCTGCCTCATCTTCTCAGTAGGCCGACAATTCGCATGCTGAAGTGCAAAAAGCATACTTTCAATGCAGTTGGTGAGATGCCAGCAGCACTGGACTTGATTTCCACACGGGTCGGTGCGTGGAACCCCACACATCCAGGAGCCAACAAAATCAAATGTCGCTCCCAGACAGGTCGGCTGAGCGATGGATGCAAAGAAAGGGGGCCGGGACCGCGTTTGGGAGGCTCAAGCAGCTTTACTTTGGGATTTCAGGTCTTGGTGGCTCAGTCGGGTCAGTTGGGGGACATTTTTTTCGGTGTCGTCACAAGGGTTTGATTAGGATTGATCGACATGCCGAAGAGCTCAGCCTGCTTAAGGCTACACCCGAACGAGCCTAACCATCAAGAATTGGCTAGGAGCTCTGATTTCCTGGGCCCAGGGTGGTCATACGGTTATTGACCATTTCAGCCCTTTTTACAGTGCGAGCCCCAGCTGCTTGTCACAGATGTTTCTTGAAGCTGGTTCAGGTCTGCAGCACCTTTGAAGATAGTTGCATGTATGGGCCGAGGCAAGTATGCTGACGAGACTTCAGCCAACGACAAGATCCGAGAGGACCGAGCGACGCGTTGCCCCATTGCTTAGCGGGGGCTGCTGTATTCACTCTTTCTTTGCCTACGGAAGGCTTAGGGCAAGAATCTGCTGAGCCGAGTGCTGCATGTTTCTCTGGAAGGGTCTGAGGTGCACACAAGCTTTTGCATGTGCGTTGCGGTGCCAGGCCGCCATGCTCATGTGTGTGGCAGAAGGCCAGATAGAGGATGGAGACCTGGAAGAGGCAACCACAGCGTCCGAAGGCGCAGTCGTCTTGAATGCCCTCGGTTGCTGGGCGTAAGGTTTAGGGTTTGCTATGTTCGGCTGAACATGTCTGTCTTGTCGCGCGTGCTGCAGGCTGCCTCGAGATTTTCAGAAATGAGGGTGACGAAAGAGGCTGGGTCGTGACAGTTTTCGCCTTCTCGGGAGCAGCTCTCACAAGATGTCAAGCCTTGGAGCCCTACGATCAGAGGAATGCCTTCTTGGTTCTTTGAGGAATGAGAAGCTCATGTTAGCAGTCTGCTTCAGGTACTCGTGATGCCCTCCGTTTAGTTGTCCACGTCTACCGCGCGAAAGCGGACGAGGCCAGTGCACATCAGTCGTGGGCGTGAAAGTCTCGAAACTTCTGCTGACGTGGAGGCCCGAAACAAAGGCGAGCGAGCTGATGTGCCGAGCTCAGCCGGGTGCCGCCTAGTTACCTAGGCACCAAGCTTGCCGTGCAGGGGCTGGGGCTTGGTGCTGCCTGAGTAGGGTTTAGGGTTTAGGGTTTCATCACCGACTGCCTACCAAACTGGCAAACTCTCATTGCGTCGAAACGCCAGTTCAGCCCTAAACCTGAGACGCTTGAAATGTGATTCTTGTTTATTCTCTCAGTACCTTCTTATCATCTGAAGATCAAGTATGACGATTGTCTACGCGCGGCCCTTGGCGATTTTTTCAGGCACGAGAGCTGCTCGAGAAGGCCGAAGAAATGGCCGAGGAGGCACGTCAGCATCGTCCGGAAAGCAACGTTTAAGGTTGCCAGGGCTTCAAGGGTAGATTCAGGGGCTCTCCAAAATGAGAGGAAATGCCCTTGTCAGGACCCCTTCTAAACCTTGAGCCCTAGACACTGACCCAAGCCTTCTTGTGGCAGGAGCTCTCCAACTACCGCGACGCTGGCGATGACCTGGGACAGGACCACCGCACTGCAGCGTTTAGGGCTTTTTGAGTTGACTGGGACTTTTCGGATTCTCCAAGTTTGTCTTAAACTTGTTGGAAGGGGTCTTTTTGGGTGTTTCGATCTTAGAGCTTTTGGCAGGTCCGTTGCTTTGGGTTTCGTTTGCGGTTTGGTGAGTAGGGGACTGTCTGTCTGTCTGTGCTTTGGAGATCCTGGCGCCAGCGCTTGGCCTTTGAGCTTGGGGGGGCTTCTGGAAGCTCAGTAACAGCTTGCTTCCTTAAACCCTGAAACCCCAACTCAAAACCCGGAGCTCACAGCTCTCCATTCTCCGATCTCGCCAGGGCTGCATGCTGCTCTCCATGGCAGAAGCCACCTGTGCCTACCGGGGAAGCACCAAGCGAGACGAGGCCGGCACAAGTGTTGATGCAGCCCGGTTCTTACCCTTGCCCTCAGAAAGAAACATGCGGGGCTTTTTCTGCATGAAGGTCCCTTAGGGGGATTCTGTTTCCTTAGAACAACCCACGTTTCTTTGGTAGTTCCTGTGGGATGCCAGAGAAGACGCACATCTTCCCGAACCGCACCCAAGACCCTGTACCTTGAATCCTGAGCCATGACCCTGAAACCTACACCTGAGACCTTGAGTCATGAGCCTTACCCTTAAACCCCAAAAGCCCTAAGACTTCAAACTCTCTTTTTCAAACCGCAACCAACACAGGCCCTCGAGAATGCTGAGGAAGCCTTGGCAATCTTCCGCGAGGCCTTTGTAGCTTTGCAAGTAAGCCCCATAAACCCTAGGCCTTGAAACGCTGCGGGGGTATGCGGGGGTCTTGTGGCGTAGGGCTTGGGGTTGTACGAAGCTTTCAGGGGTTGGCCTTTTGGCGCCTTGGGAACCAAAGAAAGAACCCAGCCACCCGATTCTAGCTTCCTTTACAGGGCAACCATTTCTTCCTAGGCTATCGAAGAACCTCGATCCTCAGGTTCATATATACCCGTTCCATACCCTGATACTCACCTTTAAGACCCTAAACCGGAAAGCTTCTTTCCTACCCCGTTAAGTGCTCAAGCCCCAAACCCGAAAATCCTTAGCCCTAACCTTAAACCCCGAAAACCCTAAACCCCTAAACCCTCAACTCTGAACCCTTAGCCCCCTGACCTTAAACCCCTAAACCCCTAAACCCTAAACCCTTAAACCCTTAAGCCCTAAACCCCTGAACCCTAAACCCCATTTTGAAGTCTGAACCCTAAATCCGCACCAAGCCCACGAAGTGGAGGTCAAGGACCCCAAGTACGAAGGGCTCGCAGCTCTCACCGTTGCGGAGGTCGGGGGAAAGCTATTAAGGGGGGTTGAGGGGCGTTGGGGGCTTTAGGGCTTCTAGGGTTGGGGCTTTAGGGTTGTGTAATGATTGTGATGAAGAGTTTAGGGTGTTGTCTGAGTTTGGAGTTTTGGGGCTCACCTACTTCCCAGCTGTCAGCTTCAGGTCTCAATGAAGAAACGTAGCTTAGGCACTTTGCAGGGACTTACAGAAGAGACCGTGTGGGCTTCTCTGGCCGTAGGTCATGTGCCCGGCATTGGCTTAGGAGGCTTTATTTTAAGTACAGCTGCCCTCTCCCTCTTCCTCCCTGTGTCGGGCTTGAACACCAAGTTGAGGTCCCTCAATCGCCATCCTCAACCCTTACAGCCCCCTGAGCCCCCTAAGAAGGTCCCCTGAACTCTAAATCCTCGAAGTTCAGGCCCTGAACCCTAAACCGTAAACCCTGAACCCTAGAACCCTAAGCCCTAAACCCTGAACCCTAGAACCCTAAGCCCTAAACCCTGAACCCTAGAACCCTGAACCCGAAGCCCTCGAAGCTCCCCCTTAGAGGTGTACTTCCGCAAGCGAAACTTCCACGCCGCTCGGCGGGCCGCAGCTGAGGCACTGACTTCCGAAGCAAGGTTTAGGGCTTAGGGTTGAGGGTTTAGGGTTTAGGGTTTAGGGTTTAGGGTTAGGGGTTTAGGGTTGAGGGTCTAGGATTTAGGGTTCAGGGTCTTAGGGTTTAGTGTACGATTAGTGTTGCTACGCTTACACTATTCTTATTGTTACTATTATTAATATTATCATTATTATTGTTCTTCTTCTTCTTCTTCTTCTTCTTATTGCTGTGTTTATTATCACGGTTATTACGACGATTGGTTTAAGAACTTCATAGCCGCTTGCAGTCGAAGGTCTCTTACTTAGGGAGCCAGTGCTGAGGGTCCGGGGCAGAGTCTGGTTGGCGTAGGTTCTTCAGGGCATCTGGGGACAAGACCGTTCGAGCTCAGAGACGGCGATGTGGGGATGCTATCTGTGCTACCAGCACACTCCGGGCTGCTTCTTGTGGAACCCTAAAGCTTTCAACCCTTCTTGAGCCCTACACCCCCTGCTTTCCCTGGAGGCCACTGAGATCTTCAAGGGCATCGATGACAAGCTCTGCCAGGCGAGTGTCAACTCGTCCGCAAGGACTTCGCTTCCTTGGCAAAGGGTTTCCAGGTTCACAGGTCCTGTACACTGAGGCTTGATGTTTCGGATAGTTGTTGTTTGAGTTCTATTGGGAGTATATATAAGGGGCTGATGCTGGTAATTCTAAAGGCCCTCTGCGTTTTTAGATTTGGGGACTTTTCCAAGGGACGGCGCCAGGATTTAGAGCATTCGGGGCGTGTCGGCTTCGGACCGTTTTGGGCAGGGCCTGCAGCTCCACAGCCCAAACCCGAAAGCCAGAACCTCGCAAGGCCATGTCCCTGCATATGGGTGCCGCTACCGAAGCCAGAGCCGGAGCCGGGAGCCCATTCTGCCAAGTTTGGGGGTGCTTAGGGTTTGGAGATCAGGATTGTAAAGGGTGTCGGAGGATGAGGAACTGAGGGTGCAGCTTTTTTTGTGCGGAGAAGGGATGGGCCGGGTTTTGGCTCGGGTGCGACGTTGCACTGTGGGTCAGGGATGCTTGGACGCTGTCAAAGCCTACGCCCTACGCCCAAACCCTCTTGCCAAGCCTTGGGACGCCGCAAACCCAAATCTCGAGGCATTTTATGAGGTGTAGGTGCCCTCGCCATACATTTGAAGCCCTCAAGATTCAAGCTTCCCTAGAAATTCAGCTGCTGCCTGAGAACCTCCAGCACTTTACAGCCCGCCAGCCGGAATAGGAGACCACTAAACCCGAAACGCAAGAACCCTGTCGGCTTTGAACCCCTAGCCTTCAACTCGGTATGCACATTGCCGAAGTCCCCGACTCTGAAGGGAAGCCCGCGCCCGATGTCTGGCCACCAGGTCTTGGAGATGGCGATCCGCCTTGGCCGGAAGTCCTTGAAGCTCACTCCTCAGATTCGGCAGCCTTCTTTTTGGGTGCTTCCCTTTTTTAAAGATCCGATCGCCACTCAACGACACAGGCAGATATACTGACAACATGTGATATGTATATATATATACACAAATGAAATGAAGTGAACTGAAATGAAATGAAATTTCATGAAATGAAAGAAGGAAAGAGTGAAATAATAAAAAAACCAAAGAAGGAAAGAATGAAAGCATAAAATGACTGAAACGAATGAAACGAATGAAACGAATGAAATGAATGAAATGAATGAAAGGAAATGAAATGAATGAAATGAATGACATGAATGACATGAATGAAATGAATGAAATGAATGACATGAATGAAATGAATGAAATGAATGAAATGAATGAAATGAATGAAATGAATGAAATGAATGACATGAATGACATGAATGAAATGAATGAAATGAATGAAATGAATGAAATGAAAATGAATGAAATGAATGAAATGAAAATGAATGAAATGAACGAAATGAAATGAAATGAAACGAAATGAAATGAAATGAATGAAAAGAATGAAAGGAAATGAAATGAATGAAAAGAATGAAAGGAAATGAAATGAATGAAATGAATGACATGAATGAAATGAATGAAATGAATGAAATGAATGAAATGAATGAAATGAATGAAATGAATGAAATGAATGACATGAATGAAATGAATGAAATGAATGAAATGAATGAAATGAATGAAATGAATGAAATGAATGAAATGAATGAAATGAATGAAATGAATGAAATGAATGACATGAATGAAATGAATGAAATGAATGAAATGAATGAAATGAATGAAATGAATGAAATGAATGACATGAATGACATGAATGAATGAATGAAATGAATGAAATGAATGAAATGAATGAAATGAATGAAATGAATGAAAAAATGAATGAAATGAATGAAATGAATGAAATGAATGAACGAATGAAATGAATGAAATGAATGAAATGAATGAAATGAATGAAATGAATGATGAATGACATGAATGACATGAATGAAATGAATGAAATGAATGAAATGAATGAAATGAATGAAATGAAATGAATGAAATGAATGAAATGAATGAATGAATGAAATGAATGAAATGAATGAAATGAATGAAATGAATGAAATGAATGAAATGAATGAAATGAATGAAATGAAAGGAAATGAAATGAATGAAATGAAATGAAATGAAACGAAATGAAATGAAATGAATGAAAAGAATGAAAGGAAAATGAATGAAATGAACGAAATGAAATGAAATGAAACGAAATGAAATGAAATGAATGAAAAGAATGAAAGGAAATGAAATGAATGAAATGAAATGAAAGGAATGAAAGGAATGAAATGACTGAAATGAACGAGCGAGTACTCATAATATCGATATCTGTTGTACTAGATGTAAATACGCAGCTCTCTCCTTCCATCTATCCATCTGTGTACCTGTGTATCTATCTATCTATCTACCTATCTATATGCATACATACATACATACATGCATACATACATACATACATACATACATACATACATACATGCATGCATCTCGAGTCCTCACCAGCCTTACAGCCCGAAAGTCACGCCAAGCCCTAGCCCCTAAGCACCAAAACCCTAAACCTTGAGCCCTAAACCCTAAACCCTAAACCCTAAACCCTAAACCCTAAACCCTAAACCCTAAACCCTAAACCCTAAACCCTAAACCCTAAACCCTAAACCCCAAACCCCAAACCCCAAACCCTAACCCCCCTCTAGCCGCCCTGCAAAAGCGAGCTGGTTGGAAAGCTGAGGCTTCTGCAGGAGGGCGGCTCCAAGAAGCAGCAGGCCTTGTCAAGTGGTTTGCGGTTTATAGGGTTTAGGGTTTAGGGTTTAGGGTTTCCGCCCAAAATAGTTCCTTGAAGACCCCGAGGGCCCCGAAAGCCCCAGAGGCATGTCCCAGTTTCGGAACTCGCTGTGCCGTCGCCTGCCGAGCATTCATTCAAGGCCCATAACCATGGGCCAAGGTCTGAAGACTTTGGAGCGGGAGCGGGAGGCCTCTGCGCTGCAGAGCCGGGGCACTGCCAAGCACCAGCAAGGCAAGCATGCAGAGGCCATCGCGGACCTGGACCAGCACTTGCAGCTCGATCCAGAGAATCTTTATGGCCTGCAGTGTCTCGAGAACTTGATGCGCGAACCTGAAGGTGCTTGGTTCTAGGAGCGTTTCTGTGAGCTGAGATCAGTCCCGGGCCACTTGCCCCAGCGGGTCCGGTGGGCCATTCTCGGAGCTGGCCCTGTGGGGTTGTGCTTGGCGTTGTCCCTGGCAGAAAGGCAGAGAGCCATGACCTCGGAGGAGCCCCCCTAATTACAGTGTATGAGAGTCGCTGGCTGGTCAAGTCGGAAAGCGGATCTTGGGTTCGAAGTCCAGAGGTACGTGCCAGGGACCAGGTAGTGACGCTGCAGGACGATGTCGTGAAGCTGTTCTCTGAAACAGTCCAAGATTGTCTCAAAGGCGAGAGTGTGTGGCTGCACTCCAGAAACATCCCCGTCTCAGAGATTGAAGACAAGCTGCTTCGCAAAGCCCAGGAAGTCCCCTTCTCCAGCTACATCCGCTTTGAGAAGTCCGACCCCCCAAGTCGAGCAGAAGACCAAGCCACCTTCATCAAGGGTTTGCCAGCCGACTTCATCGTGGCCGCAGACGGCGCGGCTTCATGGTCACGGCGAGCGTTCAGTTCGTCTGCCCGGACTCCAAGGGTGCCAATAAAGCAGAGGAGCGCATCCGTCTGGCGGAGACAGAGGATGGCTACACGCGGGCCGACCATGTCTTAGGCATCATTCTTCAGCAAGATGTTGTTCCTCCGCAAGCTCAGTCTCTGAACGTGATCTTCACCCTTGCCCAGAACATTTACCTGCTGAACTCGCAGGCCGGTTCGAAGGGGTTCCTCAACATCCGCATCACCAAGGAGGAGTATGACGAGATCTTCCAGGCAACAGGCAGAAGAGGCTGCAGCTTTGGGGGCCCCATCCAGCTCAAGCTGGAGGAATCTCTTGACAACGACGACACGACAAGTGCTTTCTTCAAGGTGAAGCTTCCCTGGTTGAGGCGACGCATCGAGGAAGGCCTGAAGCTTTTCGGGATGCGCACAGAACACATGCTCGGCATCACGGGCTTTCAGCTGATGCCTGCTTACGTCCAGCACTTCTGCCACGTCCTACCGCCAGAACCACAAATTGACCATCCCCGCGTGTTGCTCCTTGCGGGGGATGCAGCCATTTCGCACCACTTTTGGCCGGGTCGGGGTCTCAATACTGGCCTGAAGAGTGTGAAGGCCATCGTCCGCATGCTCGAGAGCCCGACGATCGCAGACGGCCTGCAGCGGTACAACCTTTTTATGTCCAAGCTTCGCATTCGTGAGATGCAGGGTCGCTCGGGCTCGATGATGCAGGAGTCCATGGTGTTGGACTGGGGGCAGCAGCTTCTGCAGCCAACCTCTGCCCATGAACTAATCAGAGCTGCTAAGGATGCGGAGGTGGGGAACCGGGAAAGCCTCCTGAAGCACTGCAAGCTGTGGCGCGACTTCTTGGAGAAGAGTGGTTGGGAGCATGCCCCAGTCACCGATGAGCTCCTGAAAAGGAGGATCGTGGAGGAAGTTGCAAGGCCACACCCACTTGAGTTGCACCTCATGGTGCGTAGTGCCTTCGACAACGGCGTGAGCCGAGCGGCCGGCTGGCCTACCTCAAGGCAACGAGGGAAGGACGTCGACCCAGGGCACGATGAGCATTGGAACTGTCGATTCGACTTTTGTGATTCGGCTCCCTTTGCTCTGATCGTGAATTCTGGGATCATGGTGTTTGTGGGCTTTGGGCTGTGAGGGGTGTGGTTGAAGGTGGTACTACAGGGGGTGTGGACGTGGGCTAATCGCAAGCTTCGAATAGACTTCATTGAGTGTCAGCTGTGGCGCAGATGGCAAGTCTGCTCGCGCTGGGCCAGTTCTACCTCATGCGGGAGGCACAGCACTTGCTGGCTTGCCATGACCGCTCAGATCTCACTACCTGCAACCAATGGAGCTCCGCACCCTGAACTAAGGGTTTAGGGCAGAAAACAGCAGACGCTAAGCCAAGATGCAAGATGCCGCATGACGTAGCTGTCCCACTGCTCTTCGTGGTGTCAGGATGCGCGGCTCTCCCTCTCCATGGGAGAGGCTGCCATGGCCCTCCTTCAGGAGTGGGCTGTGGGTAGTTGCATGGCATGTCCTCCTAGTTTTTGACAAGCCTGAAGGTGCTCAAGGTGTGGGGTGCGGGTTTTGGATGCCAAGTGGCTCGGGCGGATGTTGCGATTCACGCCGCTGCAGCCGAAATCTGCCCAAATTCCCAAGTCTGAGGAGCTAGATGACGCAATCTCCTGGGAGGCAAAGCCTGCACATGCTCTTGATTGCAAGCTTTCCATGGGGGTCCTGCAGGTTTATTGTTTTCACTTTTGGACTTTAGTGTGTTGGGGTGGAGTTGTCAATACGCTCCATGGCTTGACAAGCTTTGGCCAGGGCGTCGCCATCGGCTTCATCGTAGAGGCGTACATCCTCAACAACCAGTCAGACAAGGTCCCGAGGGCGATGAGCACCTAATTCTAGAGTCCCCCTCTACATCCAACTTACGATATTTGGGGTACCTTGTTGGGGTCCTGGGGTCCTTGTTATAAGGGAATCTTTTTATATTTGGGGGTCTGTATTCGGGGCCCCATATTTTCGCAAACTAACACAGCAAACCCTAAAAACCAAACCATCCCGACACTCCTTCTGCAGGCCGTGCAGGTCTGCAAAGAGGCCCTGGAGCGCGCGAGGCCGCGCACGGACCAGAAGCGGGAGGCGCGAGGGAGTTGCTTCTGGGGCCTCAGGGCTTTAGGGTGTGAGAGTTTAAGGGTGTTTAGGCTTCCAGGGCTTAAGGTTAGGGCGGTTACGGTTTTCGGTTTCAAGGTGTTTGGGTTTGGTGGCTTTGCTGGGGCCTCATTTGTAGGGGTTTGCCAGCAGGTTTGGGGGCTTTCCGAGAGCTTTGTGTTCAGGGTCGCGCTCGCTTCCAGCGCAGGGTTTTTCAAGCAATGACCGCCGTCGCTTTCGGAGGCTCTTCTGCCCAGGCGTGCTCCTGGTGTCTCTATGTCTTGAGTCTGCGGTTGGCGTGTTGAGTCGAAGCTGTGCGCTCAACCCTGCACCTTCGCCTCGAGCACCTAAACCCTGAGCCTCCCCCAACCTAAAGACCTTTTACCCTCAGCCCCCCCAAAAACCCCTAAGCGCGAGCAACCGGAAGAGAGCGCATGCCCAGACCGTGTACCTCTTGCACCACCTGATCCACGCCTTGTCCGTGTATGGCGACATCGACCAGGTCCTCGAGGCGCCTTCAGAGTAGTTTGGGGTTCGTGGTTTAGCTGGGGCTTTAGGGTTTAAGGTTTAGGGTTTAGGATGCAGGGTTTAGGATTTCGGGTTTAGGGTAGGCGGTTTAGGCGGGTTTAGAGTTTTGGGAGCACAGCCAGCAAGAAGACCTAGGGGGATGACCTATACTCCAAAGCTCCTACACCCCAAACCGTAAACCCCTATGCCCAGACTCTAAACCCCAAACCCTAAACCCCACATTACGAAACCCGAAGACCTCAAATCAATTCCGAAACGCGAGGTTGCCGAGGAGGCCCTCGCGCTGTCCACTGAGATCGGCTGCAAGCCGGGGCCCTCCTGGGCTGGGGTTTAGGGTTTAGGGTTTAGGGTTTAGGGTTGAGGGTTGAGGGTTGAGGGTTTCTCGTGTTTAGGCTTTTTGCGCAGCTATTGAGGATCCAGGGCTTGGCATTGGGGTTTGGCCAGGTTGGGGGGTCAAGGTAGGGCTTTTTGAGTTTGGTTTTTTGTTTTTGGGACTTAGAGTCGTAAAGTTTGAGGTTTGTCAAGGCGCTTGGGTGGTGCGGTGGCGTTGTTGTGGAGTCCTCTGCACCACAAACCCCAAAAGTAGCCAGCGTGACAACAACTTCCCCATAAGCATCTCAACCCTAAACCCGAAACCCTAAACCCTAACCCCGAAACCCCAAGCCCTAAACCCTAACTCCAAACCCTAAACCCTAAACCAGAAACCCTATACCCCAAACCCTAAACCCGAAACTAAACCTTAAGACCTAAACCCTAAACCCGAAACCCCCAAGCCCCAAGCCCAGGCGATTGAAGGCGCACGTCTACGAGGAGCTCAGCCATGCTCACCTCCTCGTGGGGAGCCACAGATTTTAGGTTTAGGGTTTGGGGCTTGTCAGGTTTAGGGTTTGGGGTTTGGGGTTTAGGGTTTCGGGTTTGGGGTTTAGGGGTGTAGGGGTTTAGGGGTTCAGGGGTTTAGGGGTTTGGGGTTTAGGACTGACAAGGGTTCACGGTTTTTGGGTTGAGGGTTTGAGGGCTTTAGGGCTGGAGGATTTGGGGCAACTGAGGCTTCAGGACTTATCGGGGTTTAGGGGGTCTAGGGTGGAGGATTTGGGGCTGATTAAGGGCTTTGGGTCTTGGGACTTGAGGTTTGGGGTGTAGGTTTCATGTGGCTTTAGACTCGTCTTTTTAGAGGCTTCCGAGTTGAGTACCGAAGCTGGAGGATGGCTTCTCTAGCACGGAGCATGTCATTCAACCACGAGGTCCTGAAGCAACATTTGAAGGGTTTAGGGTTTAGGGTTTAGGGTTTAGGGTTTAGGGTTTAGGGTTTAGGGTTTAGGGTTTAGGGTTTAGGGGCTCACTTCAAGAGTGCGCTGGTATTCGCTTGGACTCCTGTAGAACGGCACTCTTTTGCCCCTCCCCAAAGCGACAGACACTCTTCAGAGAACTGCTGGTATGCAGGATCCATGTCGGCGGGGGTTTGTTCAAACGGATTGTTGCTGAATGTTCCGAAAGGTTTGAAGCCCAGAATTCGCTTTTTTTTTTTTTTTTTAAATTTTATGGGGGGTTTCAGTGCAGCAAGGGCGAAGCAGGAAGAGTCCTTCTGGATGCTTGTTTTGCCGCACCCAGGCTGAGCAGAACAACGACGCCCTGTATGCCGCGAAGGACAGCCTTAAACCCAAAAAAGCCCTAAACCCCTAAACCCTAAACCCCAAACCCTAAACCCTAAGCCCTAAGCCCTAAACCCTAAACCCTAGTGTTTTGGAGCGAAATGTCCAGGGCAAATCTTTTCTGGATCTTGCAATACAAGTCCCGGACCATGGCCTTAGAGGAGATGGGGGTTTCCCAGAACTACGCGGTTTAGGGTTTTAGGGTTTAGGGTTTAGGGTTTTAGGGTTTAGGGTTTTAGGGTTTTTGGGTTTAGGGTTTAAGGGTTTAAGGGTTTAAGGGTTTAAGGGTTTAAGGGTTTAAGGGTGTAGGGGTTTAAGGGTTTAAGGGTTTAAGGGTTTCAGGGTTTCATGGTTTTCAGGGTGTAGGGTCCCGTTTTTGGGGGTCCTTACGAAGGGATAATACGTATTTGGGGTGTACAGGGGGGTGCCTCTATTCAAGGAAACGCCCGTATGAAAACTCAGGATTTAGGGTAGAATCCTGAACAAAGCAGCCCAGAACACCCAAATCAAACACTCCTACACCCCAGCCCTAAACCCTAGCCCTAAACCCTAAACCCTAAACCCTTATCCCTAAACCCTAAATCCCTTGTCCTGTCGCCTCAGGAAGCCGTCACCCTCCTCAAGGAGTTGGGCGCGGACCATGATGAGATCACCACGCGCCTGCAGGCGAGCCTCTTCCTTGTCCCTCAGGTCTCGCGATTTAGGGTTTAGGGTTAAGGGTTAAGGGTTTAGGGTTTAGGGTTTAGGGTTGAGGGTTGAGGGTTGAGGGTTGAGGCTTGAGGGTTGAGGGTTGAGGGTTGAGGGTTGAGGGCTAGGGTTTAGGGTTTAGGGTTTAGGGTTTAGGGTTTAGGGTTGAGGGCTTCGGGTTTGGGATTCAAGGTTTGGGATTCAGGGTTTGGGGGTGCAGGCTTGAGGGCTTCGGATCCTTAACTTCTTGCATTGGCGGCCTCGAGTGTCTCCATGGGCATTTCGAGCCGAGGTCCTCACGAAAGTCCTGATCATCCAGGACAATTACCAGGAGGCGCACAACCAGATCGAGCTGGCGAAGGAGTGCGGGCTGGTCGCGAGGGTGCAAAGCGGCACGTGCATGGCATATGTTTGAAACCGACTGCGGCCTCGCTGAGGACATCGCGCAGAAAATCGCGCAGCCCTCGGTCCGCGTTCCTGTTGTTAATGCGAGGGGAAGATGGAGAGATACGGGTGCGCAGAGCGCAGAAGTGACGAGGGTGTTGTGGTCTCTGGCGCCTAGAAGTCCATCCTCCATTCTGAAGCCCTCCTTCCTCCGAAGCCATTCCTCCCATGGCGTGCTTCTTTTGGTACACGCTGCTCTGGCCAAACCCCAGGCCCCCTCATATCTGGCAGCCTGTGTCTTTGTCTCAGGAAGAGAAGCCCCTGGAGGCATTCTGCCTCTCCATCCAGTCCCGCGCAGAGCTGAGTTTACTTGTATGAAGCTGTCGGGTACGTGAGTGCGTGAATTCTTGAGGGGCTTGGGGGGTTTTATCGGGTTTTGAACTGAGAATGAAGATAGTAGGTTGAGTCTTTCGTGGCTCTTGGGGGCTAATCTTGCACCCTTGGCCAAATGGGTAACCCTTATAGACCCCAAAATGTCATAGAACCCACCCCTTTACAAAGACCCCCAAAGTCTCGGCAAGTACCGGCATATATACGAAAGGACCTCTCCCAAGTGGTCCCAGGAGTGCAGGCTCTTTTGGGCGATCCGGAGGGTGGCGTCAAGGACCGTCATCCCTGGGAGCCGTCTTGGGGTAGAAGAGGGGGTCCTGAAGGGGCTTCAGGGGGGTTGTGGGGGGTTTGGGAGGACTTTGGGATTTTGGGATTTTGGGGATTTAGGGGTTTAGGGGGTTGGGGTTCAGTTTTTTTTTGGGGGTTTCTGGAATCTAGGCGATTTAGGGGATGTAGGGGATTTAGGGATTTAGGGGGTTTAGGGCTCTGAAGTATCGACTTCGACATTCGTGAGGGGGTGGTGTTAAGTTGAGTTTCATGGTCAAGGACGATTATCAAGGTCAATGTACAGGGTCCCCAAGTTCAAAGAGCTCCCAAACATTCTTAAGGGTTGCCTCAGCCTGTCGAATCAGGCGGCAGACCTTGCCATCGACATGTTCAAGGAAGATGGCGACAGGACCGGAGCTCCTGCACAAGTTTTTGAAGTGCCCGTGACCGGCTTTCGGTGACCATCCATACTTGCGACAAAGCCCTAAACCCGAAAACCCCGAAATTCTTGACCGGTGGATCCCTAACATGAGGCTGCACGCTGCCAGTCGAGTCAGGGGTACTTGCCTTATTCCTTGAGTTGGCTTAAAAGTAGGAGGTTGTGATTTATCGACAGGGGATGCCGGTCCTTTTTTGAGGAATGCAATGCTTGGGGGGTTGAAGGATTTTTGGCCTTTGGGATAAAGATTGAGGGCCTCGCAGCTATGTCGCAAGCCACCGGCACCCCTAGAATCCTAAGCTGCCACGGCTCCCAACCCCTAAACCCTGCTCCCTGAACCACCCTAAACAAGCCTAAAACCTAAACCCTAAACCCGAGACCCTAAATCCCCATCCAGCCGTCAACCCTCAGCCACACAGGAGGGGCGAGTGCCGCGTGTGGGAGGGCCTTTCGGAGTCGGGCGCCCAGTTTCTGCTCTCCAGGAATTCAGAGGTGGACCCAAGATGTCCCTCCTCCCCTACACCAATCGCTCCCCTTTTTCATTCTCTTCTTTTCCCCAAATTCAAATAGTGATACATATATATATATATATATAGACAGACATATCGGAAATGTTTGAGTTCAGGGGCGCAGAGGGCTTTATACCAGGATGAGGGGGCTGGAAAAGCCCTTAGGTTGTTCGCTCCCTTCTCTTTATGCCTGACACATCCTCAGGCTATCCTTTGCGCCTGAGTCGGCAGTCTGATGAGATTGTAATCAGCGAGAAAGCATGCGGCACAGTAGCATGATCATCGTAGACTTTCTTAGTGGCCAGTGAAGCGCACGACTGAAGAGCATCCAGCAAGAGGAGCCCAACACCCTACCCTGAACCCCAGTAATCCTCAAACCCTAAACCCTAAACCCTAAACCCTAAACCCTAAACCCTAAACCCTGAACTCTCAACCCGGGGAACCTCGCCAAGGATTCACATGACCGCAAATGACTTCTCCTCCGCGCTGCGCGCTGCAAAGCGGGCGGAGGCAAGGAATTTCTTAGACAAAAGCCCCCTCAACAGCCCTCTGGCTGTAGTCTGGAATGCATGTGGGGGACAAGGGGGAAAGGCGACCTCAGCTGCAGAGCTTTGAGTGCCTCCTGCCGTGCAGACTCTATGTGCCGATGTTGGGGACACGCGATTGATGGCAAGGATGAAGCCTCAAACTCAGCGACTTTCCGTGCTCGGGCAAGGTTTTGCACACTGTGCGGTGGGTTAGTGTATGCAGAAGAGCATGAACTGACGAATTTTCTTCGAGGCACACGACATCCATGGTGCACATGTCCGCCGACAACCATGACGAGGCGGGACAGTTGCGACCAGCAGTTCCACGGAGCCTTTGTTGATGGATACGACATTGGCCTACTGGAGGCAAAAGCTTCGATCACCGAAGCAATCAAGCTCTCCCGAGCAGACGATGACATGAGGGGGTCTGGAGCTCTGCATCTGGCAGCGTTGCCCACAAGTGATGGCATAGTCAAACGATCTAGGAACGATAGCAACCCTAAACCCCAAACCCTAACCCTAAACCTAAAACCCCAAGGACGGTAAAGTACATCTTCCTTGCCATGGACATCTGGGTGACTTCGCTTACGGCAATGGACCCAGAGGACTGAAGTGGGAGAGGTCGGCGAAATGGGTAGGCTGATTCTTAGCTACGAATACAAACCATAAACCCTAAAAATCTTAACCCCTAAGCCCTAAACACGAAACCCCTGCTGCTTTCAGGACAAGAGCAAGGTCAGAATCTACAGGCAGAGAAGGGCTTGCGCAGCTCAGTCGGCATTGTGCTCTTGAGCCCTTGCCGTCACTGTGGCAGGCAGGGCTGCGAGAAAGCCATGCGGCTGGCGAAAGAGGCCGTCAAGCTTAGCATCCGCTGGGCTCTCAGAATCAGAAGGTGAACCTGATACATTCATGAAAACCCTAAACCCTAAACCCCAAACCCTAAACCCTAAAGCCTGAACCCCAAACCCTAACCCCTAAACCCTAAACCCACAATCCCTAAAACCCCTAAACCCTAAACCCTGCGCACATGCGCGCTCTGCGCCCAGGCCTGGAAGATAGATACGCGGAGTGCATGGCCAACTACTGGGTGCCTGGACAGCTTTAAGCATGCAGAGGGGAGGGGATTCGGGTTGCGTTTAGGGCTTCGAGTTGGGAGTGGTGCGATGTTAAAAGCCACTACGGAAGGGCTAGGTATGAACATTGACGCTGTTCCATCCGAGGCAGGTCTTGGCGTGGCCAAAGCATATTCTGAATTCCCATCCTCATCAAAACCTGCTGTGTGAAAAACAGCTCACCCAGGACCCCCTTTCTTGGGATTTCATCTTTCGGGACCCGAACCTTACACCCAAAACCCCCAAAAGACCTCCGAACTGCTGCAGCTGAGGTTGGAACGATGCACATCATGATGGGCCCGTCGCTGAGATTGTCGGAGAGAAGACGATGCATCTAAGCAAGGGCTTCCATGGTTCTCAAAGACCCACGGAGTCATGGAAAGACGGCTACACATAAGTGCGTACAGACTGTACCAAGGAGTGTGCTTAGACATTGTACACACATATATATATATATATCTATTTTTATAATGTAATATGTGTATATGTATGTGCTGTGTGCATGCCATAAATGTACACATGAATACGCGACATGCTCTGACCGCAAGCTAGTAATATGGACTTCCCATTTTGATTGAAAGCTCATGTCGTCACATGTACAACTCGCCAGCGCAGGGCGTCCAAAGGAGGCCCGCATCAATGCCGACGTGTCGTTGGAGATCGCGAAGTCTAAGCGGGATATGCCGGGGTCTCGGACTACCGCAACGGAGCTGTAGCTTGTGGCTTTTCGATCATCTTAGACAGCCTCAAGCTTAACTGAGTATTTCCCAAAATAGGTTGCCCCGTTTATATCGCAAATAGAATAGAATCCCCCTTAAGGGGCACCTAAAAACGGCACCCCACCTAAAAAGGGCACCCCACGTTGCTGCCGCAGCCAGCCAGGTTTAGGTGGACCAAAGCAGGCAACTTCCACAGTGTCAAACGGAGCCTTATTATATGGCGGTTTCCCGAAATTCGGAGTACCTTATTGGGGGTCCTTGCCTGCCCACTTGCAGTTTGCAGTTATCAGTTTAAGGGTGGGTTTTCGGGTTCAGGGTTTAGGCCTTGGCCCTTAAGCCCGAGTGTGGATGAAGGCTCAGTGAGATGTACGCCCGCGGACTTATAGCCCAAGCCTCAGCATCGATGTGTTTTTTTGGCCTTGCGTTGTGCAGGGTTCAAGAAAGATGGTCTGTTGGACGGGACGTTCCCACGTTTCGTCGGTTGAGGTTTCCTGAAGAATGGCAAGAATTCCGAAAGAAGCCATATGTGCCCTATAATGAGTCCTACAAGCCCAACACAGCCCTGTTAGAGGCGCAGAGGGTTTTTGGGGAGGTTTCGGGTCCTCTCCAACGCTCCTGGGCTTGCGTGCGAGGTGCAGATCTGCCTCCAGGAGAAGGACGTCAAAGGTGCCAAAGAGAGCCTCAAAGATGTACAGGCTGGGGGCTTCTGAGTGAACCAGGGAGACACAAAGTGTTGGAGTTCAGGATAGATCCTCAAGAAGGTTTCAGGGGTTCATGGCTTGAGGGCTTCAAGTTGGGGACACTATTTAGGGTTTGTGAGGAATGTTTGGGAACCGTCGCCCAGTTCGTTTTTACGCAAAGTGTTCTGTGCCACCAGGATGCTAGAAAGTCTGGCTCGGCTGACCGAGCAGCCACTGCCTTCCTCCCTATTTTCGGGTCAATTTCCCCAAAAACACTCAACCCTGAGCCCTAACCCTGAAGCTGCCAAGCCCTAAAACCCCAAAACCCTGGAACCCCCAAAACCCTGAACCTTAAAACCCTGGAACTGCCAAACCCTAAAACCTTAAAACCCCAAGCCCGGCCTCTCGAAACGGTGCACGGAAGTAGCCCAGTGAACGCCAGGGCCTGGCAGAGGAGCTGGGCGATCCTCAAGGTTCCAGGGTGTTGTTTGGGCACTAAGCCCTAAGCCTTAAGCCCTGCACCCTAAACCCTAAACCCCAAACCCTATATACACCCTAAACCCTAGACCCTAAACCCTAAACCCTAAACCCCAAACCCTAAACCCCAAACCCAAAGCCCTAAGCCCAAAGCCCTAAGCCCTAACCCCTACATTTTGGGAGTGTGGGGCTTCAGGATCTCCAGGCTTGAGGGATTCAATGGATCTCAGAGTTGCCGGGTTCTGCCGAGGAGTTCACTGTAGGGGTTGAGGACCCCAACAGGTCGTGACTCATGTCAGGGCCTGAAACAAGTGGCTTCGTGACACCCCATCTGTTACCCCATGTTTTATCATGTTTTTGGTTTGTGGCGGCGGTGCGGTGGACAAAGGAGAAAACAAAAACTGGTTGTAACAAATTTGGGGAGGGGGGTGAAGCCTTAACCTTAAGTGGACGCACCAATAAGCAAAACAAGGACAGACCCCCCCCCCCCCCCCTCCCAATTTGTTGCACCATGTTTTTGGTTTGTGGTGAAGCTGTGGTGGACGAAAGGAGAAAACAAAAACTGGGCTTGACAAATTGGGGGGTTTCAAGTGTTTCAAGTGCTCTTATCGGTTTGGAGATATCTCGGGAAGTTTCTAAAGGATTTACAACACTTGAAAGGCAATTTCCTCAGCCCTAGTGGGTTTAGGGTTTAAGGGTTTAGGATTCAGGGTTTAGGGTAAAACCCAACCCCCCCCCCCCCCCCCCCCCCCCCCTTCCTGCTTCTGCATCCCCCCACCCTGTAAAGCCGGCCCTGCCTGCCAGCCAAAGCCATGGCCGATCAGCTCAAGGAATTGGTCATGGGCAGCCGCCCCAGGGTTTTGGGGGTTTCCGGTTTAGGGTTTAAGTCTTCGCTGTCATGTAATGGGTGTTGGCTTCAGTTGTTTGTCAACTGTTTAGGGTTTGGGATTCAGTGTGCTCTCTGGAGTGTGGGTTTCAGATGTAGCTTCGCTTCCAGCACTGTGTCGTCTTGTGGATGTTTGGGCATGAGAGCATCTCGTTTCTTGAGTGTTCGGGGTTGCCCTAAACCCCAAACCCTAATCCCTAAAGCCTAAACCTTAAACCCTAAACCCTAAACCCCTAAACCCCTAAACCCCTAAACCCCTAAACTCCTAAACCCCTAAACCCCTAAACCCCTAAACCCCTAAACCCCTAAACCCCTAAACCCCTAAACCCCTAAACCCCTAAACACCTAAACCCCTAAACCCCTAAACCCCTAAACCCCTAAACCCCTAAACCCCTAAACCCCTAAACCCCTAAACCCCTAAACCCCTAAACCCCTAAACCCTAAGCCGTCAGCCCTAAACCCCTGTTCAACTCTCAGGCTCTGGTGTGCAGGAAGCTGCCCCGCAGGCAGGGTCCACGGGAGCCTGGAGGGGACAAAGGCGTTTCTTTAGGATCCAGGGGTCGGAATAAGTACCAAGATTGTTCCCTTATGGTCCCTTTGTAGTTATTCTATAATAACCCCCCCCCCCCCCCCCCCCCGAAGCCCTATTTTAATTATTCAGGCCCTATATTAGGGATTTTTGTGGGGGTGTCCTTAATGGGAACTATAATCGGGCTACGATCATGCCCATAAAGGACTGTTAGTAGAAGTGGGAGCGTCCCAAGAGCTGCATGTAGTTGTGTCACGCCTGGCAGGCTGCAGCCGTGGCTGCGCCCGTGCAGGAGAGTGTTCTCCACTTGGCACCTTTGCGCTCTTACCGTCCAGTTAGGGTTTAGGGTTTAGGGTTTAGGATTTAGGGTTTAGGGTTTTGGGTTTAGGGTTTAGGGTTTAGGCTTTCTAAACCAACCCGTTGCCAGAGCCTCGAGCCGGCAAGGAGATGGGTGGTGCCTCTTCTGCTGCCACTGCCGAAGAGCTTGCTCTCAGCTCAGTGGGTGTCTTTTTGCATGCCAAGGACCAGAATCTCCAAACTCCGTTTCCTGCACTCCAGCCAACGAAGGCCTATGTGGCGCCAGACCCCATCACCATCAAGCGGCCTGCTCAGTGGCTTTGTGAACTGCAGCTTTCCATACCTGAAGTTTAGGGGTTTAGAGTTTCGGGTTTTAGTGTTTAGGGGTTTTGCCCGGGGTTCAGGATCCCTCATCCCTAAATGCTAAGGCCGCTAAGGAAGCACGAAAGAATGCACTTTGCGGCGCCAAGGAACCACATCATCGCGATGGTGAAGAACATGGTCGGCGGAGGTGACGAGGTTGATGGCGACACTCCGCTCATGGAGCTCGTGCCTCAACCTTCGTCCTGCTTCGACCGCATGGATCTACCTACCACTTAGGGCTTCATAGCTGAGGACATGGGGGCCTTAGGGCTTAGGAGCGTAGTTAGGAGTTGCAGGGTTGAAGCCGTCTCCACCTTATGTTTCGTGCGTGGAGCCCACCTCGCCAGCTGGTCAGGTCGGGTGTGGATAGCCTGGCAAGTGTGGAGCTCCGAACGCAGCTGCAGGGGGTGCGCATCTGCATGTTTTGCGCTGCCTTTCGCAGCTCAGAACGTTCCTTCCCCTAACACCTATATGCCTAGACCCACACTGGGGGCAGTCCTCTAAATCAGGGTCCCCTTTAAAGGGAATTATATCAGTATACCAGGGACCCCCAGAGGGTTCCCGTAATTTGAGAACTGCTCCCACTTCGGGCTGGACCCTGCCTGGACTCTGAGCCGTGCCAGGAGTTCAAGGTGAACCTGCCCTCCACGGTCATGTTCAACTATCCCACCATTGAGGGCCTGACGGGGTGGCAGCCTCAGACGCCAAGGAGGGAGTCGAGGAAATTGCTAGGTTTTTTTGTTTTTTTGCGGGGGGAGGGGGGCGGGGTTGTAGTTGCGTTTGTACAGACTTGGTGTTGAGGGCTCATAAGGGTTTAGGATGTCAGGGTTTAGGGTTTCAGGTATGTTTTTCACAAGAAGGCTTTGGGAGTCTTTGGGCGCATTCAGCGATGCCTTTGCTGGAGGCTGCTCATCGACGAGTGCACGAACAAGAAGATCACCTGGACCGGATGAGGAGGACAGACTGAGTCTTTGGTTTCAACCCAAAACCCTTAAACCCTAAACCCCAAACCCTAAACCCTGAACCCCAATCCCTAAAAACCCTAAACCCTCAAAAAACCAAACCCCAAAAACTCTCAACCTCAGTCGAAAGGCCAGTGAGCCACCCCAACCCTCTGGAGGCCCGAAGCCCTCGCCCAAACCCAACAATCTGTTGCAGTTGAACCTGTTCTTGTGAGGTTGGAACCGTGGGCCCCTAGCATGGCAAGGGAACCCTTGTTTATGGGGACCCACATGAAGGGCCCATACTTTGGCCCCTAGACTTCTTCTGCAGCTGTTGGTAGGGTCCAAGGATGCGAGAGTCAGGACCCAGAGTCATGCCTAGAGCATGGTGAGCCGGATGCGTTAATGGCCCCATCGCTGCCGGTGATAGCTCAGCGGCCACCACGGAAAGGCGCCACACAGGGTGCCTCAGGCCGACGATTGCAGGGGGTGGAGAGCCTGCCAGCCTTGCAGGCAGCTCCCGTCATCAGGACCGTGCACCTCTATGAGCATCTTGAGCTTTGTGGTACCCTTTACCTTTTTTTGTTGGGTTTTGGGTTCCCTTCTAAAGCAACCAACCCCAAAAAGGGTGCCTCTACTATAACATGTTTCCTGGGCTACCAAGGCATATACACGACCACCACCATTTCGTCTATCGACGAGAGAGGGCCTCGGTGCCATCAGTGCTTGAGTCGCTGCCTGAGCGAAGGCCCTCGGTTCCAGAGGTGACCGTGCAGCTCGCGCGCGACGCAGAGCCAGTCGAGCCCACCCCGCAGGCGCACGCATGGAGGCCCGCGGAGGAAAGCACGCTGCACGATCCGCCCGAGCCAGCGGATGCTGCGGAGGACGGAGAAGACTCCTCCAAGCCGTCGCTGCCCACAAGAAGCCTCTTGCAGGTACTGCCGGACCAATCCCGCAATGGGCTGGAGAGCCTCGGACCAAGAGTAGGCCCTTGATTATTCCCTTTTTTTAGGGTTTAGGTTCCCTTTAAACCCCCCTTTAAACCAAAAAGGGCACCCTTGTGTATTCCTAGGTTATTCCTGAGTCTAGGAGCCGTGGATCCGTGGCCTCAACGAAGCTGTCCTTCGTCAGCGAGGACGGATCGAAGTCGAGGGGAAGCAAGGAGCCTCCTGGGAAGCGACCCAAACGCTGTCTGAAGAGTCAGGTCGTGGAGCCTTGGGTGCTGAGTACGGTAGCCTTTGTCCGTTTTGGCTATGCAACATCCGCTTAGAAACCAAAGCTCATTTTTTCCCTTTTCCTCCTAAACACTATACATCCCCAGGCCTGATAGCCCCTAAACCCTAAACCCCGAACCCTAAAGAACCAGTAAGGAGCCTGAGGACAAGCTGTCAACAAGGCTCCGGGTCTTGGAAGCCGAAAGCAGGCCGGCAAGTTTTTTCTAGCCCCCAAACCCTAACACCAAAAAGCCTTAGGTCCTACTATGAGAACTATACGCCCTATAAGCCCTACAACCCTAAACCCTAAACCCGAAAAACCAAAGCCGTGCCCTACAACCTGGGTTGGGCGGCTTTTCAGCGTACTTCAGGTGGTCGGATCGGCGACGGGATCTAAGACGCTACATCCGAGAGCTGCCAGACAGCTCCAAGTCCAAGGCCACTGGCTCTTTTGTTGTATTGAAAAGGAGTTGGGAGTTTAGGTTCCTTGAAGTAGGGATCCATCATAAAGGGGTGAGATAACGATATGCAGGTAGTATGAAAATTCCCTTTTGGCGCGACGTAAGGCAAAGCAGAAGCTGGTGGGCCAGCATGTTACAGGCACGCTGGTCGACAAGACTCGGCTTCTTGGCATAACATCTGACACGTAGCTGCATGCCCGTTTTATACCCTTCTTTCAAGTGGCCTGTATGCAGACACCTGCAGTGGAATGCTGAGGCTAGAGACGCAGAAGGCACGAGACACCCAGGAGAATCGAGATGTCGTCCACCACATCGAGAAAGAGATACACGCGTGTAGCCGCTCTCGGCACAAGGTCATGCGAATGCAGGCGGCTCTACGACGTCGCTTGGGAAGGCGCTCCATGGGTCTCATGTCGCAGGACACCCAAGAGGAGCTTGTAGAGGAGGAGGGTGATGCAGGCGTGACTGAATCGTAGGTGCGTGGGGTGTGTGTGTGTGTGTGTGTGTGTGTGTGCCCCCATGAATTTCTGAGCTGCCAAGCATGCTCAGATCCGTAGCACAAGACCGGCTGCCTGGGCAGTGCGCACAGTGCAGCCGCCTGTTCATAGCTCATGAACCTGACCTCAACCAGAGACCCTACACGTATGTAGCGTTATCCCCCCTGCAACTGCTACACCCTCGTTCGGAGCCCTTTAGACCCGAACCCGAAGGTGACTCTGTAGTGTTTAGGCCGACAGCTGCTGTGAGGCGGCTTGCGCATGGTCGGTTCTCTCTGACCTAGGAAGTGAACGAAAGGTTTTTGGGTGTTTTTTTTGGGCCAAAAACTACCACTTGTTTAGATCGGGGGAGGATATTTTAACGGGGTTTGGAGGGTATCAAAACCACTTGTTTAGATCTGGGGGGGGGAATGTGAATCCACCAGCACACAAGAGAGCGCGATGCGCAGGTTCACACGGAATTCGGAGCTTAGGATGCCAGGCCTCCAAAGGAGGAGAGCGCAGCAGCGTTGATGAAAAGCCGGGCGGAGACAGGGTTTAGGGTTTAGGGTTTAGGGTTTAGGGTTTAGGGTTTAGGGTTTAGGGTTTAGGGTTAGTCTGGCTAGGGATGGTCAACACGGGATGATCGATGGTGTGGTGTTTCCATAGAACCCGGGAGCACTGCGAAATCTACGCAAACATCCTAGATCCTAATTGATCTCCCGAAACTCCTTATCTCTAAAGCCTAAATGACATCGTGAGGTTTTCTTGAAGGTCGAAGCTGGTGCATGTTTGCACATCACATAGTGTATTAACGCCGTTTCGTATTCGCATCTTTCAAAAGTCTTCAAGTGCATGATCGTATATTCTAGAATCTAGGATAGTCTATGGTGTGGGAGATCCCAGAACCCTAAACCCTACGTCAACAGCGAGGTACTCGAGACACAGACCATACATCCAGGAAGCAACAAGAAACATCTTGCAGTACTGTCATCATGCGCCAACATAGCATACAAGTCTACCAGAATCTAGTATGATGCAGTACAGTCTCTTAGCTCGTTAATAATGTCAGTGCTAGTATCTGACCATGGGTTGCAGGAGACTCCTCCAAGCTGGAAGAAGTTGTGACGACGGACACCTGGGTTGCCAGAGCATTCCATCTTCCATGTTTTGAACTGGGACTCCCCTATTCCCTTCCCCCTAATCTTAAGCACCCCTGACCCCTAATATCCCCTAATATTAAATACCCCCCCCCCCCCCCCATGATGGTTATATTATGGTATATGGTGGGGGGCATTTTTAATGGGGGGAAGGGAGTACTCTACTGCGGTGGACCTCAGGGGAAGCCAGTGAACTCGCCACTCGCCATCTTCCATGCCATGTAAAAATATAAGCCGTGTTGAGCGCTACTGAGGGCAGCCGCTTGCCGCTGCAGACCCTAAACCCTAAACCCTAAACCCCAAACCCTAAACCCGAAACCCTAAACCCTAAACCCTAAATCCTAAACCCTAAACCCTAAACCCTAAACCCTAGCCCTAAACCCTAAGCCCAAAACTCTATGGCTCTGGAGCCCCAGCTCGAGGTGAGCCCCAGCAGATGCCAAGATTTGTCTTGTGACGCTATCCGTACTGAACGCGGATCCCACCATCGCTCGAAAAGTGCCGGGACAAGGGCTTAGGGTTTAGGGTTTAGGGTTTAGGGCTTAGGGCTTAGGGCTGAGGGTTCAGGGTTTAGGGTGGAGTTACAAAGAGTGCGGGGGCGTGCTTTGTGCGCAAGGATGCTGCGATGCCCTCGTCTGCCAGGTCTATGTCGGCCGCGGCGCGTCGCGAGTACGAGACCTCTTCAAGCAGGCAGGCTCCTAAGCTCACCCTAAACCCTAAACCCTAAACCCTAAACCCTGAACCCTAAATCCTAAACCCTAAACCCTAAGCCCTAAACCCCAAACCCTAAACCCTAAACCCTAAACCCTAAACCCTAAACCCTAAACCCTAAACCCTAAACCCTAAACCCTAAACCCTAAACCCTAAACCCTAAAACCTACAGGAGCTCTCTGATCTGATTTACCGAAGATGCCTTCCTGTAAGTTTGGGAATCAGGTAAAGTAACCAAAAGCCCAAAGCCCAAAGCCCAAGGCCCAAAGCCCAAAGCCCCAAGCCCCTCCCCCGCCGCCCCAAACCCTAGACTCTTCAACCCTAACGCTTGGGATGTTCCCGCTTATACTAGCAGTGCTTAATAGGGATTATAGCCCCTCCCTTTATAAGCCCTAAACCCGCCACCCTCAACCCTAAACCCTCAGCAAGGCGAGAAACCCTAAACCCTAAACCCTGAACCCTGAACCCTAAACCCTAAACCCTAAACCCAAAACCCAAAACCCTAAACCCTAAACCCTAAACCCTAAACCCTAAACCCTAAACCCTAAATTCCCACCCGGCCTGCTTAGGCCGTACCCACCCTTGACAAGGGTGCCTGGACCCAGAAGATACCTGGCAGTGATGGACACCTTTACTGGATGGACAATGGGTGGAGCCATCGGAGAGTGGTCGAATAGAGAGCCCCAGGGCTCGCATCGCCACTAGGCCACCAGAGTGGCGCCCATACCCACACAGGAGTACTCCGATATTCCCTGGCCCGCCCCCCTGGCCCCCCCCCCCCCCCCCCCCCCTGTTACCCCCTGCCGCCCCCCCCCCCTGGCCTACCCTCCTGGACTTCTTTCTCCCTCGCCCTTCACCACGCCTTTGTGGGAAAGCAATGGTGGGACTTGAGGGCGACAGCCCTAAACCCTAAAAGGCAGTGCTTTGGGTGGTGGCCTGTGAAAGCTCACAGCGGGTGGGGAGAAAGAACCCAGCACCAATGAAATTGTTGGATTACATTGAAAACAGATGCCTTCGCGTGACATGCCGCCCCCCCACACCCCCTGGGTGTGTAGGGGCGCCATTTACACAGGGTACTTATTGCCGCTGCGCGGCGAGACGCCCTAAACCCTAAACCCTAAACCCTAAACCCTAAACCCTAAACCCTAAACCCTAAACCCTAAACCCTAAACCCTAAACCCTAAACCCTAAACCCTAAACCCTAAACCCTAAACCCTAAACCCTAAACCCTAAACCCTAAACCTAAACCCTAAACCCTAAACCCTAAACCCTAAACCCTAAACCCTAAACCCTAAACCCTAAACCCTAAACCGACCCTGTGAGGCGAGAGGCATGGCTCCTGTCGTGCTCTTCCTGGACGAGTTGGACGCGCTCGGTGGGGGCCCTCGGCTTCGGATCCGGGCTTTTAAGGGTTTTTAAATGCTTTTAAGAGCTTCTATACGGGCTTTTCAGGGCTGTTAAACGGGCTCTTTAAGGGGCTTCAAAAAAGGCAATTCAAGGCTTCTACAATTCTACAAGGGCTTTTAAGAACTCTCAAGACCTTTCAAGGGCTTCCAAGGGCCTTTGCAAGGGCGTTATGGGCGCCTTTTCATGATGTTCTTACAGCCGAAGTCCCAGGGGGTTCAGGGTTGAAGCTTTACGAGTAGTCAGATCAGTCCTCAGCTCCAAAACCCTAGAGCCAAAACCTTTAACCCCTAGGCCCTGCATGTTGCTAAACTCTACAACCCTAAACCCTACACCCTACACCCTAAACCCTAAACCCTATATAAACCCTAAGCCTGAACCCTAAAATGCCCTTGACTTGCAGGCACGCGCAGCCGAGGCCAAGGGGGCCTCGGCGGGAGTGAGGCCCTGGGTTCAGGGCTAGAGGCGTTTAACTTTCCCGTTCTTTTTCGGGGAGTGAGGTTCCAAGGGCCTCCCCTGCTGAGAATTGGCAAGTCAAGGCGTGTAGGAGGGCTTTTTAAAGAGTTTAATGTAGAGGGCTTATCGTAAGACCTAAACCCCTCAACCGACTGAATGTTGCTGGAGGAGTATGTGCAGACTCTGAACCAGATTCTGACGGAGCTAGATGGGCCGCGGCCCTTGACACCCTTGCTCCGATGTCGCAAGCTGCACTTGAGAGGAGCGCAGGAACTTGAGGGACCTTGTGCTTCAGAATCTGACGCCCTAGCCCTCAAACCCTGCAAGAAGCCCTGTAAACCTGACAACCCCCTTCCCCCCCCCCCCTTCCCCTTCCCTTCCCCCCTTCCGCATTCGCCCAAACCTAAGCAAGGAGAGGTGTGTGGGCTCCGAAAGCCGATTTTTCCCTCGAGGTTTCACGGGCATAGCGATGGCATCGTAGTGCTTGGGGCGACGAATCGCCAGGAGGCCAGGGGGAGCTGAGGGTGGACTTGAAGGCACTCTCAACAGCAGTCGGGAGATGGTTTTTTGGGGGGTCGTTTCGTGGCTAACAGGCAGTCATGTGTGTCAGTTCTGCACCATTCTTTGCCGTGAAGCTCTGATCGGGTGCGTGGAAGTCCCTAAAGCTAATCCCTAAAGCCCTTAAAGGCCGTGATGCCCCACGACCGCAAGCCCGCAGACTCCCCAAGCAAGGAATATTCCTTAAGTCATGTTTGGGTCTTTTTTGTGCCCCTAAACCCTCAACACCTACACCCTACACCCTAAACATTAAATTCTGGACCCCAAACCCTAAACCCTAAACCCTAAACCCTAAACCCTCAACCCTCAACCCTCAACCCTCAACCCTCAACCCTCAACCCTCAACCCTCAACCCTAAACCCTAAACCCTAAACCCTAAACCCTAAACCCTAAACCCTAAACCCTAAACCCTAAACCCTAAACAAAGGGGGCATTGAAGCTCCCGGGAGTAAACGACGAGCCACAAGGCCATCGACCCGGCCCTGCTTCGACCAGGGCGTGTGAGCCTCGGAACTTCACTCTTCAGGGGTTCAGGGTTTAGGGTTTAGGATTTGGGGTTTAGGGTTTAGGGTTTAGGACTTGGGGTTTCGGGTTTAGGGTGTAGGGTTTAGGGTTTAGGATTTAGAGTTTAGGGTTCGGGGTTTAGGGTTTGGGGTTTAGGGTTTAGCCTCGCTGGTTTGGTTGCGGGGACGGTTTTTCGGGTCAAAACAGCGTCTTGTCCCCTGCCGCTGTTCCTCCTTGTTCACGGTGCATGCTGAAAACGTTGACCTGCGTGAGGTTTTCGAGACATTTTCAACATGTCCGCTGTTTGTTTTGTGTGTTGTCACACGTTCCGATGTCAGCGTTTTCAACTACCAAAAGGGGTGCCCCTTTTGGTGCAGTGTCTTGTGCAAGGTCACGAAATGCGTGGCCTGCGTGGTAGAATCGAGACACGTTTCATGGCCTTCCTTGGTTACCTACACACGGTTAAGAACGAATCTCCACGCATGCCTTGCCTCTGTAGCGCACAGCGTGTGCTGTTGTTTTTGGCTTTCAGCCACTCCGGAATCGCATGATTCTCCGCCTAGGGTCTAAAGTGGGTGCTTCAGAGGTTTTGACTCGGGGCTTTGTGCCTTCTGCTTCCTGGAAAGACAAAGGATGCTGTGCAATTACACAAGTTCCACCTTTCACACCAAAAACCGAATCACAATAATTCTTTTTTTCCGGCCTCCAAAACACGAAACCCTGTGAATTACGCTGTAAACCCGCCCCCGTAACTGGACCCGTCGGGGGGTTTAGGGTTCCCCCCCACTCCCAGCTTCAACAGCAAACCTTGAGCCTGAACAGCCCGACGTCCGCACCCTAAACCGTGTTTGTTTTCTCTGCATGGGCCGAACATGCCTTGCGGAAGTTGAAGGCCTTGCGACGGGTCAAAAGGGGGTCCGGGTTGCCCTAGATGGGAGATGATTCTTGAATGCCAATACGAGGACCATCATAAACATCATACAAAGGACGAAGAAGTTCTCTGTGCTTCACACTGGTTCTCCCATCTATGACAAACCTTCTGTTGGCTAAGCCATCTCCTTCGTCGCAGGCAACTGGAATAAGCAGCTGCGCAGCAATATCTGCCCACCAAGACTTTGAATCTTGAGGCTTTGTAAGTATGTCGCCTAATTGAGCTGGACTCGGTACCCAGGCGAGGGGGAGCTTAGAGCTCCAACGTTCGAATTTCAATTGCTGGCGAAGAGCTGCTAGATCTATCGCGAGGCGACGATCCTGCGGGACACGGGGCACCCCTTGCTTATGCAAGTGGTCATAGAGAGAGCGGCTCAAACAAAGGAGGGGCATCTTGGCCTGCTGCACCTCGATGATTTCGCCTTCCACCAGGGACTCGTAGAAGGACCTGACGTACTGTCCTCCTTCCAAACCTTCGACACAGGCTTGGGTTTCAGCTCCAAAGGTGCTCCTGCAAACTCGCTGTCCTGCTCGACTTTTCCAGTCTACCACATTGACATGGCCGGCTTGACGTCCAATACTGGTCTTGTTGGCAAACAGGATCAATCCGCCAAGCTGGGATGCAACTCTGGAGTTCTGCCTTTTAGCCTTTCGCCCAGCATGAAAGGAAGGAGGGACATCTCGTTGGAGGCCGGCAACCTTGTCGTCCTCATACAGCTCGAATCCTTCTTCACCGATGTCGCCCTCGAACGCGTTCGCCCAGGCGGCGTCGTGGTAGACGAGGGTGACCATGTTGTCGGGGTCCAGGGGATGAAACTCCAGGCGTGGCTCGAATCGATAGGTTGTTCGTGAAGCGAATGTCTTCATAGGTCGGGGCTTTCTGGACTTGTTGAGTCAAGCTGATTCCACAAGTCAAATCAGGTCTTGTTTGAGCGGAGACCCAGGAGAGGCCCCCGCGAGTGATCTATTGTCGGCGATGAGGTCGACCCCGACAAGGTCTTCGTCACGGCACCCCTTTGGAAGAGGCAGAAGGAACAACCTAGTGTCCACATAGCCCGTCTGGTTCACCCTGACGCTGTCCTTGGTGCATACGATCTCCACCCCGACATAGTTGAAGACATCTTGTTCCCAGCTATCGATGGGGAAAGTCCGTGACAGCTGTTCCTTCATCTTGTCGGCTAAGCTTCCCGGGCCAACAACCAAGAGATCGTCCACATGCGTGCCGACGAATGCCACGGCGCGCCCGGAGAACTTTTTGCCATCCCACCTGCGAAGGGCGAAAACACAAGGGTCCATGGGGGACTGGCAGAACTTGAACACCCCGTCTTCGTGCTCAATCTCCATGTCGAGAATTCCACTTTGCAGGTCCTGCCACCACTCATGAGGACTAGTGGCAAGGCCAAAGATGTTCTTCTTTATCCGCACCAGTTGCCGTGGGTGTAATCCCGGAAAGCCAGTGTTGGGCTGGTGAAGAAAAAGTTCTTCTTCTCGCCTCAGGTACCCTCCGGTAAGGAAAGCACACCTGATGTCGCCCGCAGAGACCGTCCAAGGATCTTGTTCTCGTAGTCCGTTGGCCAGTCGTTGCATCAAACAAAGCAATCCTGTTCGTGATAAGGTAGGAGCGTCGGTGGTCAACTGCGAGCTTCCAAGGTCGGGGTCAGTGTGCCCGGCGATCACAAGCCTCGATTTGCACTTCCATGGGATGTTCTGGGCGTCAGCTCCAGCATTCCTTCGCCTGGCCCAATTCTTATCTTTATAGGCCCATCTGCAGCGAAGGATCCGGTCAGACGAGATATTTTCTCGTATCCAGTCACTGGTTTCGAGGGACTTCATCCCACTGCACCCTTTCTGCGGACTTGAAGAGCTCCTTCTGGTCATTGGGAATCTCGCTCCACCTCAGCTCCTTCTCTTGGCGCTTTTCCACCCCTCTCTTCGTGAGGTCTCGCTTCATGATCATGGCCTGGTGCGGTTCAGCGTCCCAGTCGACATCTCCGGGCGCTGTCTTTCTCTTGAGTCGTCTTGTGGGCCTCCTCATCTCTTCTCCTTCGTCGGCTTCTAATACGACTCCTTCGTTTGCATCTAGGAGCGGATCCTCTTCAGCAACGGCCATCTCCTCGTCCGGATCGAGTTCGGTAGGCGAGTACCCTTGTAGATCGAGATCTAGATCACTCACCATCTGGTCGCCGTCGTAGGTGTCATCCTCGTCAAGGTCTGCCTCGAGGAGTCGGGCCACTTCACGCTGGACGCCGCGCATTTGGAGGAGTTCGCCGACTTCTTCGGGTCCTGATGGTCGTAGATGTTCTGGAGCTGTCAAGCGACATCGCCCATTGCGGCTGATCCAGTAGTTGCCGCCTTCATTGCCGACGATCCCCTCCGGCGGTTCTTTGGCTGGTGCCAAAAGTGGACAGGCTCTCCAATTTCATAGGGTCGCGATGTGGTCCTTGCTCTTTGCATCAAAGCTTTGCGAAGACGATCGTTCCCTTGCGATTTGTGGAACGCGATTCTGGCTGCCGACCTCACCGCCATCTGTCGTTGGAATTTGCTCTCCGCCGACACGTCCCATGTGACTCTCTCTCCGGAGTCAGGGTCGAGGAGGTCCTCAGGCATGCGGGGATCACGACCGAAAACCCACGAAAATGGGCTGTGACCGCAACGTCTCCGGAGTTGATTTTCGCACTCGTCACACATGAAGCTGCGAGGTGGGCTTCGTTCTTGCTGATACTCATGTCATGAACGACTCTTTCCCAAATATCCTTCCACCAGGCTCCCTGTCGCTCGGTGATGCCTGCTTGCCAGTGTCCTTGGGCCGCCACATGCTTGACCTTGATGTTGTGCCAGTCGCAAAGCCTTCCCAATCCTTTCTGTAGTCCTCCTTCTAGGTCCACTGACATCGTTGACGGAGGGCCGAAGGGTGTCAACCAGAAATCATTGAACGCCCTTTCCAAGTCGGGAGCAGAAGTTCCTTTTATCTCGACAACGACCTGGTAGGAGGTGCCCCAGTCGACGAGGTTGAGGAAGGTATGCCTGACATCGTCAACGTCATGAGCAAAGAGGAGGTCAGCCCCAACGCATTGGTTGAAGTCCAGCATTCGCGGAACCGTGCTGGGTCTCGCAATCTTAGGTTTGCTAGTGTTGTCGCAAACCTGACACTTCAAGCTCTTGGCAACCTTGAGGACCTCTGGTTCACATCCGGCTAGCCTCAGATGTCTCACCAGATCTTCACATCGCGGATGACCTAGGTTCTGGTGGAGTCGCCGTAGGGCTCCTTGGACCAGTGAGCTCGCTGCAGTGTCGAAGGTGATTGCTGATCCGTTCCCGACAAAATCGGCTGGCTGTCGTTCGTCTTCTCCTGCAGCCTCTCCAACGACGCACACACTGTACGGCGGGAAATCGCTCGGCACAGTCCGCTGCGCCTGTTTCTTTCTTTCGAGGACGACCCAAGCGGTATCCCCATCTCCTTGCCGGTAGCGGATATACTCGGAGAACTTGTCGGCGATGCCATGAAGATCTTCTCCCTGAAGGACCACGCAGCCCCCATCGTCAAGTTGTCGTGAGATCAGTGCAATGACTGCCTCGCGCCCGCTGCTCGGTAGATCGTGCATGTGGAGACGTAACTCCCTAGGAGAGGCGGCACAGACGAAGTGGTAGGCGGTCTCCCGCCTGTCTGGGTCCAAATAATCTTCCCAGCTCATAGGTTCAAGGACGGCCTTCCCGCGGTCGACGGCTTCTGAAGTTCCATCTAGGCCGCCTATCTCGAACATCACGATGGGGTCGGGCTTGACCTCGGGCATGCCGAAGTCACACATATAGGAAGTGACCGCGGCGACGAGTGTGGTGAAGAGCACCCCAATCTTGCTGGCATTCGCGGCGAGAACGTTCCTTGTTCGCTTGTTCGGCTTCTTTTCACATTGTCTTTCGCCTGATTGGTCTTGACGCCCTTTGCGAGGGAGAGGAAAACCGGTCTTTCTGAGGCGGTCACGGATTTCTTTGCCGATCTTAATGATGCTCCTGGTGGTGTGGTACACAAGGCTCCACCGGTCCCCTTCCCAAGGGAGGACAGCATGCTTCAGCCCTGGCTTGAAGCTCTTGAAGTTGCCCAGGGTCGACTGCACAGTCCCGGGAATCCAATTGCCCTGCTTGTCCTTTTTCCATAGGAGATCTTGACGAAGACCTTGTTCTTGACCCTCGATCTTTTCCTCAATCCATAGTTCTCCACCCTTGGTCTGTCCAAATCTGACAGCATGGTTGTAGGAGTCGGGACTGTTGTTGTAGTCGCAATGCACACCGGCGGCGACATTGCACATCACCGACACCGATGTCCAGGTGGTGCCCTCTGGAAGATGGAATTTTCCGAAGGCATTGACGTACCGAGCCAATTGGACTCCGTCGCCTTGGTAAGACCATGAACGCCACCATGGGTGAACAAGCCGAAGAGAGTATGCTCATGCGGGCGCTTGTCGGGATCTTGGTCTTGTTGCTTGAAGGCACTTCCTCGACTCATGGTGCTTCTCAAAAGACGAGCGCCTTCCAAAAGCTCTCGACATGTGGAAAAGGAGAAGTCACCGTTGATGCAGGCGGTACGGGCCTGGCTGAGCAACGGGTTGACGAGCGGCCCCTCGTAGTTTTCTTCGGCTTCGGCGATCAGGTAGGTGCAATTATTCTTGGAGGCGAGGAGGATCTCTTCCTCGGTGATGCCATCTTGCAAGTCGAAATCACCACAGCATCCTTGGCGTCTTCGTCGCTCGCAAGAGTTCCCGGAGTCCCTCACTGACGGCCATGGTCTGCTCCCGGATACCCGGCCTTGTTCTTGAGCACTGCAAGCTGGGCCTCGAGCCGCCTGATCTCCTCCAGGGCTTCCTCGTCGATCTCCGCCTCCATCCTGGTTGTCTCGGCATTCCCGGCTCTCTTCTTGTTGGGCGTTGCTTCGACAGGGATCACCCTCTGCTTCTCGGAGATCGCAGCAGACACCACCGACCAATCGGTCCTTGTCGATGACATCTGATCCGATGAGCCTGTCGCTGCCGCCGAGGTTCCCGGTCTGGAAGTCGGACTCCGAGGAAAGGGTGCCGACATGTCGCTCCCTGTCCCGACATAGCTCTGCTCCTTGGCCTTCTTGTCGTTCTCGTACCACCGGGCGAAGCGAACGAAGTCCGGGTCGGAGTTCGAATTGAGCTCCTGAAGACACCACTCCCCGTACTCCTTCGGAATCTCCTTGTACTGCAGCCCCTTCCACTTTCCGATGGGCATCAGGGTCTCCGCTGGGGTGTTGATGTTGTCGCGAATCATCCTCAGGAGGCTCCCCTTTGAGGTCTTGGGGACGAACTGAATTCCCAGCTCCTTGGCTTGTAGACGAAGCTGCTCCATGTTCATCTGGTGAAGGCGGGTCATTCTGGCTCCAACTTCCTGGTGCGCTTGCCGATGTTCTTGAATGCATGACTTGAGTTCTTCCACCGACCAAGAGTGGTGCACCAGGAGACCCACCCGATTGCATTCTTCCAACAGCTGCGCTTTGGTCATCTTGCTGATCGCCGGGGGATTGCCGCATGCTCGAGGCTCCATCGGCTGCCGGTCGCGAAGGAGTAGGCAGGGGCCGACCGAAGCTCTTACTGAGCACAGTCCTTCCAATCCAAAGCAGCGGAAGTGAAGATTCGGAGTCGCTCTCAACCGTCCATCGGTCTACTACAGTTTCCAACCACCTCTCAGAACTGCAACAAACCGCTTCTGTGCTCCTAATGTCCCCAAGGCTAGTCAGCAACATATCCTTCAGCATGGAAGAATGCGTGCGCCATGTGGAGGGGTTGAACTGTGCCCTTCTCGGCGTTACATGTACTCGTATCCAGGCGTCGTCTCTTTCAACCCAGAAGTCCCCAGTGACCTTCGTAGCTTGCCGCCAAGATAGGAAAGTACTGTGCTGGAAACGGGGGTGGATGAGCATACTTTTGACCCCAGGGTCTAACTTCTTGTCGTGGAAGAGGTTCAACATGGAAGACCTCCTATCGGTTGACCCAGCAGCACAAGCAATGGCGTACACCATGTATTCTCGCGACTGCAAGCGAAGGTCTTCAACTGGAAGGAGTGGATCCCCTGCCTCTGCTGGCTTCGCCGGCACGATGGGGATTGCCGGGTGACCGGATGCAGTTGTGACAAGGCGGTACCCCCTCAGTCCGACCTCGACAAAGTCGGCGTCGCCAGTCCCGACATTGTAGATCATGCCAAGTTTTCCCAGCACGGCTTTGGACAACAGCAACGGGATGTCGCCACTGATGATGGAAGTCTTGACCTCGACGATCTTATCACCCAGCTCGAAAGACACGATCACGTAGAAGGAGGAGTAGTAGACCTTGCCGGCCCCGAACCTGAAAGCTTCGCATTCCTTGTGCAAGGCCGGCTTCATCCCGAGGACTTCGAGGGCATCGGTGTAGTCCTGCAACCATCTCGTTCCAGCGACCGTCCTGGCGCAGGCGGTATCCGTGATGCCGAGCAAGGAGTGCTTGGAGTGTTTGACGGCGAACACTTCGGAGGGCAAGTTGTAGCACACCTCGACCTCCTTGACGTCCCCGCTCGCAGCAGCCCGATTGTTCGGACATTGGCTGTCCTTATGCCAGTGACCTCGTCTTCCACATCCTGAGCAAAAGGACTTTGCTTTCATTGCGCGGATCCTTTCCTCTCTGGCATTGCCCTCCTTTCCTCCATCGCGGCCCTTGTCCTTGTCGGTGGCAACGTCGTAACCTCGGGACTTCTTCTGGTCTCGGTGCTTGGCCTTGGCATTCTGGAAGGCAACATAGGCAGTGGCTACTTCCTCAGCAACACCTTCTCCCTCTTCATCTCCAAGGGAGTCCGCATCGGAGTCGTCGTAGGCATCGGTCATGTGGGTGTTGTGCAGCTTCTTTCCTAGCGCCTTCCCAAGGTTTGCGATGTCCTCGATCATGGATGACCGCCGCCTGCTGGAGCTTCTGCAAGGAGTACGAGTTGCCGACACTCGCGAGGAGGTTGAGTTCAGCTGTCTCATCCAACTGAAGCCTGTCCACATAAACCCAAGCAGCACAAGCCTCCGGCAGGTTGCATCCCACTTCACGGAGTCGGGCATGGAGACGGTCGTACTCGCTGTTATAGTCCCGGATACTCTGACCTGGTCGGCGACGAAGTCGCCGAAAGAACTCCGAGAAGGCCTTCCCGATGCGAGTGATCTCCAAGTCCAAGAAGCGAGCCGTGATCCAGGAAACCAGGTAGCTGACACCGCCGGCGCTGCTGAGCTGGTCGACATCGAGCTCTTCGGCGGCGACCCAAGCTTTGCCGCCCAAGTGCTGGTACAAGACCAGTCCCTGCTGCTGCGGAGGCAACAAGGTCATTCTTCGCCAGGCCTCTATTTGTCGAAGGTAGGACCTTGCCGAGGTCCCAACATCGTCGCCGTCTTCTGCTGAGAAGCTGGGAACGCTAAGCTTCTCGGAAGGTCGCCCCTGTGGCCTCGGGCGATCGTCCCATACTTGGTCGTCCGACCGGAAGCCTCCGCCAAAGTGCCGCCAGCCGGTCCATGCCCTCGTGGTACTGTCTTCATTCGTCCATTTGGTTCCACTTACTTCATCTCGGTGCGGATAATCGTACCCTTGCCGTCGGCCATCTCGCCCATCTGCCCAGGGATCTTCTTGAGCATGTCCAAAAGGACCGGGGTCCCAACGGCCGTCTCGACCATCTGCCGAGGGAGCTGCTTGAGGCTGCCAAGGATCTCGCCACCATCGGGGGGCATTGCTCGCATCTTCAGTCGAGGCAGTCCAACTCCCTTCTCGCCCACTATCTGGCTGATAGTGACATTCCCAACGTCCAGATTCTCTATGACCGGCACGGCTTTGCCAGTTCGCCCACTCGGAATCTCGACTCTCCCATGCTCCTGAGCTTTGCTGTCGGCCCTCCCAAGAGCCTTGCTTCGCCCAGGGATCTCCTTCACTGGTCACACTAGGAGGGGCGTCTTCACGATCTCCCCTTTCAGCCGGCTCTTCAGGCTCATGCCCAGAACGAACACTCCCGTCGCCGCCATCGAACGGGATTGACATGGCTCGTCCCCACTACCCTAAGCCTAACCTAAGGAGCACACAGGCTCCGCTACCAATATGAAACACTAAGGGAACCACAAGACAGCAACCCGAAAACCCTACCCCGGGGGCCCGCCTGCACAGCCACAGCTGTTTTCTCTGCATGGGCCGAACATGCCTTGCGGAAGTTGAAGGCCTTGCGACGGGTCAAAAGGGGGTCCGGGTTGCCCTAGATGGGAGATGATTCTTGAATGCCAATACGAGGACCATCATAAACATCATACAAAGGACGAAGAAGTTCTCTGTGCTTCACACTAAACCCTAAACCCTAAACCCTAAACCCTAAACCCTAAACCCAAAGCCCTAAACCCTATACCCTAAACCTTAAACCCAGGGCACCCTAATCTACAGCTTGTCCCCCATGTGAGGCTTCGATCGGTTTATCCAGGTGGAGCTCCCCGATGAGGACGTGTTAGGGCGCGAGTAGTGGAGCTCAGGGATTTCAGAGTTCGGTTTGGGGTTCAGGGTTCAGGGTTCAGGGTTTAGGGTTTAGGGTTTAGGGTTTAGGGTTTAGGGTTTAGGGTTTAGGATTTAGGGTTTCGGCTTTAGGGTTTAGTGTTTAGGATTTAGGGTTCATGAAGCGGGGCTCCTGGTCGAGGGCGTTAGGGGTTTGAGGGGTTCCGGTACCCCAAGCCCTTGTGAGACTTTAAGCCCGAGTTCCTCAAAGACCCAAGTATCTTGGACCCTGAAAGCCTTACTTAAGCCTTAAGCAAAACAGTTCTTGAGCTGCTCCTGCAGGAGGAGCGGAGAGAAATTTTTCGAATTCACGTCCGAAAGGCGCGGTCGGGCTCAGTGGAATACAGCAAGTAGGTCTTGCTTCAGTATGTAGAGAGGCCATGCTGGCGAGACAACATGTGACATCCCATGAGCGACATCAAATCGTTGCAGGGCAAGGCTTAGAGAATCATAGAACAACCACCACAAAGGGTTCACCATGGACCCTCAACCCTCAACCCTCAACCCCGAACCCCAAACCCAAACCCCAAACCCTAAACCCTAAACCCTAAACCCTCAACCCTCTAGCCCCGAAACCGGCGGCAGGCAGACGAGAACCTGTCCGTGGAGGCTTGGCCCGGTGCGGGGGGAGTCTAAGCCTTTTTTGCGATCTCTAAACCCTAAACCCTAAGCCCTTAAACCCACTTCAACCTTTCAACCCTTAGACCCCAAACCCTAGCCCCTAAATAAGCCCTAAAGCCACGAAGCAAAGCCAGTCTACAGGGATCTCAACCCGGGAGCCAGATACGCCGAAGCTTCAAGATTCCAAGCTGTACAGGCCCATTTAAAGTTCACCAACCATAAACCCTAAGCCCTAAACCCTAAGCCCTAAGCCCTAAGCCCTAAACCCTAGTTAAACCCTAAACCCTAGTTAAACCCTAAAGCCCAAACCCTCAAAGCCCAAACCCTAAAAGCGGAGGCGGGTACCGTCAGCTCTATCGCCGCGTCCTCGGCAGGCCTCTGCCCGTCCCGTGAGTTTCGTTGATTTGGGGGGGATGGCTCCACAAAGGCTTCAGAGTTTGGGGCGTGCAGGGTGTATGTGGTTTAGGAGGGGTTTCTAGGGTCTTCAGGCTTGTTAGGGTTTCTAGGGGTTATAGGCTGTTATAGGGGTTTATAGGTGTTTATAGGGTTGAGGGGAGGGGGTTGAGGCTCTAGGGTGAAACAAGTTTCTGGCGTCAGCTGTGCATAGCTGTGCTCGAGAGCACCCAGGAGACTTGCAATACCAGAGAGCCATGAATAGGGTTTTAGGGTTGTAGGGTCTGAGGGCTTTAGGGCTTTTGGGTTATAGGGCTGTAGGGTTGTACGTAGGGTCTGAGGGCTTCAGGGTTTGAGGGTTTGAGGGTTTGGGTTTGAGGGTCATAGGTTTTAGGGTTTAGAGTTTTCGGCATTTCGGGTTTTATGGTCTCCTCACTGATTGTGGAAAGAAAATTTCTTGAATCGTGGAACTTCCAGCAACTTCCACCCCCATGCCCCGTAGATTGGCTTGCGGCTCAGGTTTTCGGATATTAGGATTTCGGGGCTTCCCTAAACCCTAAACCCTAAACCCTAAACCCTAAACCCTAAACCCTAAACCCTAAACCCTAAACCCTAAACCCTAAACCCTAAACCCTAAACCCTAAACCCTAAACCCTAAACCTGTAGGTTTCGTGTTGCGGGTTTCGTTGGAAGACAGGCTTCAGTGGGGCAGAGCTGGCCAACGTGGTGAACGAGGCGCCACAGTGATCGAAGCCCCCCTCCCCCCAGTCTGTAAGATCACGAAGCTCTGGGAACTCTATGCTTCCTTGAGACTTTGGGACTAGGCTTTAGGTTTAGACCCGAAGGAGGGTGGCTTGGGGGGAAGGAGTGTAGGCAGGGCCCACACCTTCAACACCAAGCAGAAACCCTTGGATTTTTCATTGCGGGGGAGATGCGGGGAGTTGGCTGGGGACACACAGGTACACCGCGGCCCCTGAAACACCCTAGCCTTCTTGTTGAAAGCCTGAAGGTCGAAAAACCAGGAACATGACACTGACGGTGGTAGTCGTGTCCATGAGGGGTCAATTTTGCAAGACTGCGCCTTTTGCTGTATGGGGGTTTGCGAAAAAACAGGGGTGCCCTTTTTGAGGGTCTCTTAAGGGGATCCGATTCTATTTAGGGTATAAAGGGGGGTACCGGGGTACCCCTGTTTGGGGAGATAACCGTACGGGCCTCGAACAGATTTTTACGAGAGCTAGCACGAGGGATCGTGCTGCTACTGTGCAGGCCATCTTCCTGGCCCTGCGAGACAAGAGATCCCAGCCCTCAGCGAAGGTTGGGCTGAATCTTACTGCTTCGTGGGCCCTGAATTAGGCAGAGCCTTGAACAACCCTAAACCCTAAACCCCAAACCCCAAACCCCAAACCCCAAACCCCAAACCCTAAACCCTAAACCCTAAACCCTAAACCCTAAACCCTAAACCCTAAACCCTAAACCCTAAACCCTAAACCCTAAACCCTAAACCCTAAACCCTAAAACTAAACCCTAAACCCTAAACCCTAAACCCTAAACCCTAAACCCTAAACCCTAAACCCTAAACCCTAAACCCTAAACCCTAAACCCTAAACCCTAAACCCCAACCCTAAACCCTGAACCCTAAACCCTAAACCCTAAACCCTGCACCTGCAACCCAGGATTTTTGATTCTAATGCCCTAGTGGCTCCCGGGCGCTGCGGGTTTAGGGTTTAGGGTTTAGGGTTTAGGGTTTAGGGTTTAGGGTTTAGGGTTTAGGGTTTAGGGAATCAGCATCTTGGGCTCAATGGGGGTTGCCGCAAGCATGCCGTAGAAGCTCAGAGACGTCATGTGCAACTTTGCCAGGATTTTTCCAACGCCCTCGATCGTCGCAAGGCCACTGCAAAAATAAACCGTTTCACTCTAATCCCTAAACCCTCAACCCTCATAAACCCTCCAAACCGTAAATCCTGAACCCGAAGCCCGAGATTGTAAAGCAGTCACTCTTTGCCCCGGACTTGGGGGAAGAGCCTGACACCCTAAACCCTACATTCCTTCAGCGGCGTTGGCTCTTGGGAACAGCTGCTGTCTCCCTGCCCAGGCGGCCCGGAAGTTCGTGGGGAGCAGCAACGGCGCCGCGAACGGCGACCTATCTGGCCTAGGCGGTCCGTGCCTGCATGAGGGCGGGGGGCGCGGGGGGGTGGGGGGGGGGGGTGGGGTGGGGGTGGGGTGGGGGGGGGTGGGGCGGGGGGTGGGGGGGGGGGGGGTGGGGGGGGGGCTGGGGGGGGGGGTGGGGGGGGGGGGTGGGGAGAAAAGAAGGCTTAGTCCTGAACAAGATAGCAGGCAGCCTCCCTCCCACCGAAAATTTGACTTTTCGTACACCCTAGAACGCCCCAATCCTTCTTTGTTTTTTCACCGGGGTGGGAGTAACATTTCAGAGGTTCATGGTTGTGAGCCCAGAACGCCCCAACCCTTGTTAATTATCAGGGGGGGGGGGGAATAACATTTGAGGGGTTAATGGTTGTGAGCCCTGGGGTGTGTTGCTCTGGGTACACAGTTCACAGTATATGGTATATGGTGTAGCAATCGTTTATCGTACATAGCATATCACATGTTGTGTATCCACGGTAGATGTAGCAGAGTATGTTTAGTATATATATATATACATATATATATTGTTTACGAAAATAGGGGACCACCCAAAATTGACCCCCATATACTAAAATCCCCTTATAGTAAGAGCCCCAATAAGGTACCCCTAATTTCGGAAACCCCCCCCCCCCCATATATAGCATATAGAGTAGTATGAGCCGAAAGCCCTAGCCCCTCGATCCTACCGGCAGGCCTTCCAACCAATATAAGGCTTTTCCCAAGTCGACTCGTAGGGTTTAGGGTTTAGGGTTTAGGGTTCAGGGTCTAGGGCTAGTTCCCTTGTAATCGGGTTCCGTCTTCCTTTCCTTGCTCGGCGCCTAGGGACCTGACTTGCCAAGCCTGGACTCACTGCCAATAAGGAGTACACAGACAAACCCTAAACCCTAAACTGCAGTGCCTCTCCGACCAGGGTTCCGAATGCCGCGAGCCTGGCCCAAGGCGGAACCTGCTGGGTTTAGGGTTTAGGGTTTAGGGGTTCGCGTTTAGGGTTTAGGGTTCAGGGAGTAAGGTCCGCAGGAAGTCAGCTTATGGATGGTTATGCCTAGGATAGCCTGAACTTAAGAATCTACTCGTAGCCGCCTTACAGAGCCCAGTGTCAAGCCACATTCAACCCTCCTGAGACGCCTTTTTATAACTCCGGATCCTGACCCCTAGAACCCTCACATGCCCTGCAATCTCCACAGGCCCTACAAGCTCTACTGTTCAAAGATGCTCTATAAACTCCAAGCACCCCGAAGTCCTAAGAGCCTGCACCCTTCCCTGAAGTCCGCGTCGGAGGCCGCCGTGGCTTAGCGGGCCCTGAGTGAGGGTAGAGATCCTCGAAGGGTGTGATGTGAGACGTAGGGCTCCCTCTCCGAAGCGTGCTCAGGATTTGAGATTTTGGGATCCTGAACCCGCTGGCCACTGGCTTTGTAGGCTGTTGTAGGTCCTCTGGCAGTTGAAGAGCCAAGAGACTCCGGTGAACTCGTGCCGTGCCTCTTAAGATGTCCTCTTGGAGGCATCTCAGATGCTGCGTACAGACGTTGCCACAGCACGTTGAAAAAACCGGCATCCGAAGCTTGTGGATGCCTGCTGATGATGTGCAGTGCTCTTGTAAGGGCCAGACCCACAGCTTCGATCTGTTCGAGATGCGATACACTCTTGCCGGTCCAAGTCCCGATGCAAAAGCAATGCCCAGTCTGGCATGACACAAAGCAGGGGAGCTGGTGCACAGCAGTGTCCGAGCTGGTGTCCTGGTTGCGCCCCTCAAACAGCCCCAAGAATCGATTGCCCTGCTTCCACCATGCCAGCAGCCTTCACTCCAGAGAAGACGGGCCTTGATCTGGCCCCAGCTTTTTCATTTTTGTTTTCTTTTGTTTTTTCAGGTTTAGGGTTTAGGGTTTAGGGTTTAGGGTTTAGGGTTTAGGGCTCCGAATACCCAGAGGATGCCAGAGAGCCAGGCTTGTAAGACCCCCGGAGCTGCCCAGATCACCCTGCGCGGCTCCACGGACACCGTGGTCGAGTTCTTCGGCTACGCCATCAACAGCATCTTGTACCAGCGCGGGTGCCGCCCTGCACCATGTAGAGCTGAAGAGTGCAGCATGTGCATGCCTTCTTTGGGATGTTCCCCCCTTACACGAACAGTCCTTAGTAGGGATTATAGTAGGGGGGCACTAGAATCTGTACTAAGGACTGCTAGTATAAGGGGGTGAGCATCCCTGCCTGTCCCGAACGTAGAGCGCTCTACCAGGGTCTACCCGCCAGAGAACTTCACTTCCGTGGCCAAGTACGGATTGCGTCCCGGCTGCTGTTGCGACAGATCCGCTAGTCTGTGCATGAGCCATTGTCACTCATCAAGAACTCCCCTCATTCCTAAAACCTAAACCCCAAACCCCAAACCCCAAACCCCAAACCCCAAACCCCAAACCCTAAACCCTAAACCCTAAACCCTAAACCAAAACTAAACCCGAAAGCCTAAACCTTAAACCCTAAACCCAAACGTCCGCCAATCCGTGAACACCCTAGGGCCCGCAGCGCGGGCGTATTCCAGGGGTCCCGGCTCGGATCTTGCAGGGGCTCCAGGGATTCAGGGTTTAGGGTTTGAGGTTCAGGGTTCAGGGTTTAGGGTTTAGGGTTTAGGGTTTAGGGTTCAGGGTTTAAGGCTGTTAGGGTTTTTTTGTCGGTGCTTGTAAGAGTTTTGAGGTTCAGGGTTTTTGGGCTTAGGGTGTTTTGAAGAGTTTTAGGGTTTAGGGTGCTTTGAGCGTTCTTTAGGGCTTAGGGTGTTGTCAGGGTTTTTGGTTTTTGGGGGGTTTGAAGGTTTTGTGGGCTTAAGGGTTGCCCCCAGGTCCATCCTCGTGACCAAAGATAAGGGCCTCCAGGAGTACTTGGGCGAGGCGGGCGCAGCGTGTTTTTGCCCCCCCCCCCCCCCCCCGAACCCCCCAAAACTGCCAAAGATCCAACCTTTGCCTGCCGTTGGGATGTAAGGGGTTTCGGAGCCTACTTCGTGGGTTTTACGAGGTTTTGGGGAAGCAGTTGCTTTTGTTGTGGGTGTCTGTGTCAAATATCAACACACAAATACAAAGAAACACACACCCAAAGCCCAGATGTCAACGGGACACTTTGGGGCATCTTTGGGACAGTTCAACCAGTGGTCCCATTCTTGGGGGGGGGGGGGAGTACCCCAAATTTGTATGTGCGTTCAGAAACTCTATGCCCTAAATCCTAAACCCCCTCAACCCTAAAACCCTAGACCCCCCTGATGACCCTAAACTCCCTAAACTCCCTAAACCCTAAACCCTAAACCTTAAACCCTAAACCCCAAACCCGAAACCCCCGCACGTCTTAACCCTGAACCCTAAACTCCCCCCCCCCCCCCCCCCCCCCACCCCCCCCTCCCGCCATGTGTGGAGGTCCTCAAGCAACTCCGCGGCTGGATGATGGTCAGCCAGGCCCGGCCCTTTTTGTCTGGAGAGGGCGTGGCGGAACCAGGGTCCAGGGGTTTAGGCTTTAGGGTTGAGGGTTTAGGGATGAGGGTTTAGGGTTTAGGGTTTGGAGTTTAGGGTTTAGGGTTCAGGGTTTATGGTTTATGCGTGGAGCTGTCTCTTCCCACTGTAAAGTGCAACTTATAAGTAGCCGGGATCTCTCATCCCGATAACCTGAGCCCTTTCCCCCCACCTTCAAGCCCTTCATATGTGATATCGTATGATCACCCTAAACCCACCCCCAACGCCAAACCCAGCCCCAACCCCAAACCCCAAACCCCAAACCCCAAACCCCAAACCCCAAACCCCAAACCCCAAACCCCAAACCCCAAACCCCAAACCCCAAGCCCTAAACCCTAAGCCCAAAACCCTAAACCCTAAACCCTAAACCCTTCCCCCCCTTCCAGCCCTCACTCCGGGCGTCTCATGCTCGCGCCCTGCCGGCCCTCTAAGGTGAAGAAGCTGGTTGTTGTCGTGGCGTCGCAGGCAGCACCAATCTGGGTTTAGGAGTTTAGGAGTTTAGGAGTTTAGGAGTTGAGGAGTTGAGGAGTTGAGGAGTTGAGGAGTTGAGGAGTTGAGGAGTTTAGGAGTTTAGGAGTTTAGGAGTTTGGGGTTAAGGGTTTAGGGGGTTGAGGTCGCCAAGGCGTCACAAGCAGCTGCAAGAACTCCTCTGAACAGGGCTTCAGTTTCAACTTCGGTTTCAGGGGTTCGCATGACAAGTTACCCCTATTTTCGGAAACCCCCATATCCCGCAAAACTACATCCTCGTCCCGACGCCTTCAAACCCCAAACCCCCCCACGAAGGCACCCAAGGGAATTCCCCAAAAGCCCCCTGAACCCTAAACCCTATACCCTAAACCCTGAACCCTAAACCCTAAACCCTAAACCCTAAAACCTAAACCCTAAACCCTAAACCCTAAACCCTAAACCCTAAACCCTAAACCCTAAACCCTAAACCGAAAACCCTAAACCCTAAACCCTAAACCCACCCACAAAGCCCCCAACCTCCCGGAACTTCCCCCCCACTGCGCATGCATGGGGAGCAGGTGACGGAGGAGACCCTGGAGCGCTGGACGTTTGATGTGCAGGCGCCATTCCTTAAGGGGCTTTTTGGGGGCTTATAGGGTCTAGGGTTTAGGGTTTAGGGTTTAGGGTTTAGGGTTTAGGGGGTGAGGGGGTTAGGGGGTTAGGGGGGGTGTACAGTACAGTTGCACGAGGTGGCACGGGATTAGGGCTTCAAACGTGGAGGCTTTCTAGGTTTCGTTTTGCTCAGTCTCTCAGCCGACTTTCTTCCGCCGGTCGCTGCTCGACAAGCCCTGAAGTCCTCAATGCCTGAACTCGACAGGACAAACATGTCCCCCCCCCTTTTTGAAACCCTAAGCCCTAAGCCCTAACCCCTAAACCCAAAACCCTAAACCCTAAACCCCAAACCCTAAACCCTAAACCCTGGGCTGCAGGTGAACGACGGCGCCACCACGGCCTTGGCGGTTCCGCAGACGCAGGCGAGGGCCCTGGGTAAGATCTGATTAGCTGAGTAGGTAGCCCGTAACTTTTTGGGGTATATGTATATATAATCCTACCATAAAGGTGAACCATTTTTGGCCCAGGGTACTCAGCAACTAGGAGATGGGTCAGAGGATGTGGGCAAAATGGTTCAAAAGTAGCTGACGCATCTAGGCTCGGTGCCCCGGAAGGGAAGGAGAGTTCTGGCATGCCCCCCAGGCTGACAAGGTCCGTGAGCAGAAGGAGATTCAGGCAGCTGGGGGCGGTGGTTCGCATGGAAAGCTTCGCTTAGCAGCTGATTGAGTACACTTTACACGTTTCGGGATACTATAATCCCATATAGAACTGCAAGTGTACACTTTTTGGGGGCATATGAACTCAGCAATTAAGTGCTTCTTGTCCACCGAACTACAGTTTCATGTGGAAGTGGTTGGCATATCTCTATTGATGGGTGCTCAATATCATTGGATTTCTTTGAGGGGTCTCGAATGGCATGGGCTGCTATATACATATTTGCACATATGTATTCTATATGCGTAAATTCATAAGCACATATAGATAAATATAGGAACATATGTACATGTATATATATATATAGACATATATACGAATATGTTCTTCACTTTGTGATGCAAGTTACCCGAAAGAGGGCACGCCCGCCCGTTTGTCACCCTCGCTCTCTGCAACTGGGGCTCAAGCCATCTCGCTCCTGCGTCCTCTTGACAGAGTCCGACGCTGGGAGCTCAGAACTCCAACCCCGCACTCAGCCCAAAGCCCTAAAGCCTAAGGGGTTTGGGGTTTAGGGTGTAGGGTTTAGGGTTTAGGAACCCTAAAAGCCCCGGAGGCCACAATTCCCAAAGGGAAAGTCCCTAAAGCCCAAGCCTCCGCACGACTGCTGTCAAAAGACACGCTCCAAGCTCTCGAATATTCCCCAGACGTTGCTGACATTTGCTTCCGGTCTGTGCCCCTTACGTGGCTGCTAAACCCGCAAACCCTCAAACCCTTAAACCCTTGGACCCTTAAACCCTTAAAGCTTTAAGCCCTGAAACCCTTGAACCCCTTAACTCTTAAACTCGTTGACCCTTTAACCCTAACCCCCTTTAACCCTTCCAACCCTGAACCCTAAAGGGTGTTGGTGGCGGCCCTGGGGGGGGGGTTCCTTCGCATGGTTCCAGGGGCGTGAAAGTTGCGCTGATGAGGCCGTTTCGGGTTTAGAGTTTAGAGTCTAGGGTTTAGGGTTGACGGTTTAGGGTTTAGGGTTTAAGGGTGGGGGTTTCAGGGTTTAGGGTTCCGAATCCGTAGATCCGAAACTCGACACTCTAAATTTGTCACCCTAAACCCTAAACCCTAAACCCTAAACCCTAAACCCTAAACCCTAAACCCTAAACCCTAAACCCTAAACCCTAAACCCTAAACCCTAAACCCTAAACCCTAAACCCTAAACCCTAACCACTAAACCCTAAACCCTAAACCCTAAACCCTAAACCCTAAACCCTAAACCCTAAACCCTAAACCCTAAACCCTAAACCCTAAACCCTAAACCCTAAACCCTAAACCCTAAACCCCTAAACCCTAAACCCTAAACCTGGGAGGGAGGCCCCGCCGAGGTCGGGACACGAGCTCTGCTGCAATGAGGCGAAGGGCGTCTTGAAAAGACCAGGGCATTTTTCTGGGTTCATCGCAACATAGCCCCTTGGATACTGTCAGTTGATTTCATAAGGTAATTTAGAAGGTTCAGATACAATGAGTTGATTTACAGGTAATTCAGTTTTTTTTTTGGGGGGGGGAGTTTCAACTGGTAGGGTTCAGGGTTACCTCGGCGGCTCTGTGTTTAGGGGTGAAGTTATGCGGCACATTTGGGCTTCGTGGTTCGGTCTCCGGAATCCATGGTTCCATGGGTTCAGGGTATAGGGTTTAGGGTTTAGGGTTTAGGGTTCAGGGTATGGGTAAGGAAATAACCAAACTTACACTAAACCCTGAACCATAAGAAGCTACACCCCACAGCATGCCCAGTACCTGGCATGCCCGATACCTTGAGCCCTCGGACCAACTTAGCCGTTAGGGTCTTGAGGGTTGTAGTATATGTGTGTGTGTGTGTGCGAATATCGACATCTAACTGCCGGAGCGGGATCCCTAAACAACGTGCCCTGGAGCGAGACTGAGTTGAGTTGAGTTTTTTTTAAGGGTTGAGGGATCCAGGTGTGCGGGCTTTTGGGGTCTAGGGATACTGTGTTGAGATTGCTGTTGGGTCGAAGACCCCCCCCAAAAAACAATCCAAAAAAACAACAACAACAAGAGGACCCTTGGAATATCACATGACTATGAAAACGGTCCTTGTTCTTGGGGTAGGGGTGACCAAGTGGGGGTTTCCGAAATTAAGGGGTGCCTTCTTGGGGTCCTTATTACAGGGCTCGCCTATGTTCGTACACCCCCAAGTAACCTCTGCTGGTGCAGGCACATGGCATCACGCGCCATCGCAGCTGTCCTCTTGGCCCCCACCTCGTGCTGCCTGCAAGGGCTGCTCTCAGGGTGTTTGCTAGATAGGTCGGAACAATAGTTGCTAAGAGTATGCCCTTACTTGACAAATAAACTATAATACCCCCCCAAAACAAAAAATAACTGTTCTAAGTATTGAGGCCCCAAAATCGAAAGTCGTCATGTGACAGACATCGGGTCCATCTTTTTTGGGGTTGGGGTCGTAGCTGAGAAGGCTCTAGCCTGACAAAGAAAGGGTGAGGTTTGTATTGTCAGCAGCTAGTGGACGTCGGGTGCAGCCAGCGCTCTCTCTGACGCAGACCTTTGGTTTAAGCAGGAGATTCACTTGGGTCCAGAGAGCTGGCATGCTGAGACATGCCGAGATGCGGTGTGCGCGTTCTGCATCGGCCCGCGCCCTGTCGTGCAAATGCGTGAGGGGCTTTGGTAGTGCGCCAGCGAGGCTGCACTTGACCGTTTTCAGGAGCTCGCATGCAGGTGCGACTCTCCGCTGGCCGGCAGGCAGTGCTGGCACAGCCGCCCCTTGCCAGAGGAGGTGGCTATATCCCCCCTTGGGAATTATTTCTCATTTTTGTTTATACAAAACCCAAGAGGATCTTAAACATATTACTTTTATTAGGGTTCTAAGGGAGTAAAGGTGGAGTTCTGCCATGCCTGGCGGATGCTTGGAGCATTACCTGCAGCTGAAGGCTTCGGGTGAGATCCAAGAAGACCCTCGTCAGGAGGTGTGCATGAAGATGCTTGATGACCTTGCCAAGGACATCATGAGCTACACGCCCAAGATGACTCGGGCAGCCAAGGCCACAACACCTCCCCCCAGTGCCTCATCTGGCGGTGGCGGCTTCTTTGGCGGCCTCTTTGGGGGCAAGGCCAAGCCAGCCAAGGCTCCTGCACCCAAGGCAGAGGTAGCTTTGAAGCCTGCCCCGGGCCAGAGGGGCCTCTATTTATGGGGGGGGACTGGTACCGGCAAGACCTTCATGATGAACATGTTTTATGACAAGATCAATATCAAGGACAAGAAACGAATCCATTTCCACGAGTGGATGATTGATGTGCACACAAGGCTGCACCAAAAGCAGAAGGGCAGCAGCGCCAACAAGGACAACACAGCGGATGATCTGGTGGAGCAGGTGGCAACTGACATGATGAGGGAGGGCTGGCTCCTATGCTTTGACGAGTTTCAGGTGACGCACATCAGCGACGCCATCATCATGAAGCGCATCTTCTCGGTGCTTTTCGAGCTCGGGGCCGTGGTGGTCGCCACCTCGAACCGGCCTCCCCAAGACTTGTACCTGAACGGCCTCAATCGTCCATTGTTCCTTCCCTTCATTCCCATGCTCGAGGACTTCTGCAAAGTGCATGACATCGGTGCCGAGGTCGACTACCGAATGACTTCCACGCGTGATGGGGAAGATGACCGGGTGTACATCACTCCGAACGGACCTGCTGAGCAGAAGATCTTGGAGTACAAGTTTGCCAAGAAGCCTAGTTGCTGTTGGACAAAGCTCTCCTTTGTTTGCCAGCATCACCTATTTCCCATGCTTAGAATTCACTGTGGCATCATGTGGGGGTTTCCGAAAATAGGGATGCCCGTTAGATACCCGAGAGAGAGAGAGAGAGAGAGATAATCCTAACTATAGGCTTGCGCGCCCAAAAAAAACCACCCTGCTTGCTACCAGTGCGTGCGAAGGGCCAGAGCATCCATGCCCGCACGATGAGTACGTCCATGTTGCCAGTGTGTGGGAATGGCCAGAGCATCCATGCCCGCACGATGAGTACGTCAATGTTGCCAGTGCGTGCGAAGGGCCAGACCATCCATGCCCGCACGATGATTACGTCCATGTTGCCAGTGCGTGGGAATGGCCAGAGCATCCATGCCCGCACGATGAGTACGTCCATGTTGCCAGTTCCGCTGGGGTTGGTCACAAGACACGATTTCGCTGCGCCTGCCACGCTTCCTGCATTCCCCTGACCTGAGCGCTGCGCCAAATTTTTGGGTTTAAGCTTTGGACTTGGGGGGTTACGTTTAGGTTTTAGGGTTTGGAGTTGGGGCTTAAGGTTTGGGGTTTAGGAGTCTACAGGACCACTTTGGTCTCATAATTTTGCGACAAGAACAGTCCTTAGATGGCACTTGAAACGTAGTTGGCCCAAAAGTCTGGTCACGAAATCGTGACCAGTTTTCTTCCTGCAGCGCGTGCTGGGGTTTGCTCGCGACATGCCAAACTCGCTGCGCCTGCCACATTATTCTTCATTGGGTCCTTGTGTTTTTTCTTCCGGAGTCTGTTGGGGGTGGTTTTTTTTGGGCGCGCGCGCCTAACTATAAAACCTCCCAAAAGTGTACCCGAATTATGGCAAACCTCCGCATGAGCCTTTCGTCCTACACCCTAAACCCTCTGGCCCCCAACTGGCTCAGGATCTGTCAGGGCAAGTTCCGCACGGGCTCCCAGGTAGAGGCGCAGGGGCGCAAGGTGGTGGTGCCCCGCAGCGCAGAGAACTCCTCCGTCGCCTGGTTCGAGTTCTCCGACTTGTGCAACAAGGCCCTAGGTGCAGCGGACTACCTAGCAACTTGGGGATACTTGGAAATAGTTTTTTCAAATTTCTGGGTACGTTAATTCCTAAGAAACAGCTATAAAATCATTTTTGCTCGGGTTCCCCAAAAAATAGGCCATTGGGCACGCTTTCCACACGGTCTTCCTGGCAAACATCCCCAAGCTCACCATGCAAGAGCGGGATCAAGTCCGGCGCTTCATCACCTTGATCGACTCGCTCTACGAGTGCCACACCAAGGTCTCTACGAGTTGCTTATAAGAACCCCCCGAAAAAACACAAAACAAACATATATATATATATATATATATATATATATATTTATACACTTTTTTTTGTGTTTTTTTTGGGGGGGTTTCTTAAGCAAGTAGTAGAAGGTGGTGTGCACGGCGGCGCTGGATCCCATACCCCTTTTCTACGTCTCGGAGGAGGAGCGGAAGACGTCGATTGCAGATGAGATCTTCGCGTGGGATCGCACCGCTGCCTGCCTGACCTGGCTGGACTTTTTGGGGTTTAGGGTTTAGGGTTTAGGGTTTAGGGTGGACTTGTAGGCTGTAACTACAAGGTTTTTTCGAGGGTTTAAAAATGGGGCTTAGGACCCAAAACCTAAGCCTTACATCCTATTCAGTCCTCTTGCTTATATCGGGATCCTTACTGTCTCCCACACAGAGGAACCTCAAAGCCACTGTCTCTGTTACGCGGGCTTGAGAGCAAACCGAAATCCCTGCATCCAAGGCCCAAAGGGACAAAGGGACCTTCAAGGAACTCTTCCCTCCCCCCTTCCCCCCAACCGACAAACACAAAAGATAAAACAACAACAAAAGCACAAACCAAAGAACCGGATACCAGTGAAAGCATTCATGATCAAGATCATATTAATTCTAGCATAGCAAGAGGTTCCCTAAAGCCTAAAGCCTAAACCCTAAACCCTAAACCCTCTACGAACCCCGAACCCTTCTTTTTGGACCCCTTATCAGGTGAGTCGTCTCATGGAGATGCAGTCGACCGCCTACCTCAGCACGGCCTCGCGATCCCTCAGCAGTGAGGAGCGCCCTAGGGACATGCGAATGAACTTTGAACATTTAGGGTTTAGGTTTAGGGTTTAGGGTTTAGGGTTTGGGGTTTGGGGTTTGGGGTTTGGGGTTTAGGAAACCGTAAAGTATACTAGTTAATTGATGGGTTGCTTAGCTTTTGAAGGTTTGCAGTAGTGTAGCAAGTACTCTACATGACTGGCACGTCGACCCCTAAACCCGCCTAAACCCTAAACCCTAAACCCTAAACCCTAAACCCTAAGCCCTAAGCCCTAAACCCTAAGCCCTAAGCCCTAAACCCTAAACCCTAAACCCTAAACCCTAAACCCTAAACCCTAAACCCTAAACCCTAAACCCTAAACCCTAAACCTAAACCCAAAACCCAAAACCCAAAAACCCTAAACCTTAAACCCTTGACACATAGAGAGCCCTCGTTTTTCAGCGCCTTCAGGAGTTCTTGGGACAGTACAAGCTCAAGAGCCTCTCGGACGAGGATTTGAAGGACATGTGGAGGCGCTACGACCCTAGGTAGGCCCCTGGCACATTTTTATACATTTGTTCCCTTACCGGGGTTTATAAGAGGTTTACTAGCAGGTGTATATTGTACCTTATTGGGTCTCAGAGGATCATATTCAGGATATGTTTGTCAGAGGGTTTTGAAATGGCCACCCAAGGACCAGGACGACAGCAACCACCTGGACATGGATGAGTTGAGGCTGTTCCTCGAAGCTCGGTGGCCCAGTGGTACCCTTGCCTAGGACCCGGAGTAGGCCCTTATTTCCTTTTTTTTTAGGGTTTCGGTTCCCGTCTACTTCTACAATCCCCCTACAACCACAAAGCGCGCCCTTCGTATTCCTTGGCTGCTCCTGGGTCTAGCTGCCCCTTGTTGAAGGTCTTCCATGTAAAGTCGCCGACCCCCAAAAGGGTACCCTAAACCCTAAACCCTAAACTCTAAACCCTAAACCCTAAACCCTAATGGCTATTGGGTTGTCAAGGAAGACTTGTTGGAGAAGCAGTGCGGCCATCGAAACCTTTCCGACGAGCTCTTCGAGATCTGCCGCGAGGCCATCGACAAGAACCTCGGGGACTTTTTTTAGGAACAATTTTGATTTTGGGGATGATTGTTAAGGAATAATTTCGAATTGTTGGCTACCATAAATTCCCAAGAAATTTTGATTTGGAATTGTTCAGGAATAATGTCGAAATTTTGGTTCCTATAAAATTCCTAAGAGACAGCTAAGATATTATTTTTTGCTTGGGTTCCAAGATCAGAATAGGAATGCTGATGGCCAAGTTTCCTTCGAGGAGTTCGAGAGCTACCTGTCCGACTACTCCACGATCGAGTCCGTGCTTGGTGGCTCTTGAGAAGCCGAGACCATCAAGCCTTCCGATTCACCCACTAGGATGCCCAGTAGTACCCTTATTCCCCTTTTGTTGGGTTTAGGTTCCCTTATAAACCCCTTTAAGCAAAAAAGGGCACCCTTTTGAAGCCTAGGTTACTGGGCAACCTAGCCCATGTAGCCGATGTATGGACCTATCCGATTCACCCTGCATTGATTCATTGTTTTAGTGGGGGGAGCGGGCATTTGCGGACCGCGGAGCCGAGCCTCCTCCGTGGAAAAGTGAGGCAAAAGGGGCATCTTCGATGCTGTGCGAACTTCCACTTCCCCTTCCCCCTCCCCCCCCCCCACCAAAAAAATTCCAAGGGTTAAGGGTATAGGGTTTAGGATCTAGGGTGAAGGGTTAGGGTTTGGGGTTTAGGGTTTAGGGTTTAGGGTTTAGGGTTTAGGGAGTTTAGGGTTTGACCGGGTTTCCTGTGCCGAGGCCATGGCATGCCTCACGGAAGCCGTGCAGCCGGGCCCTTAACGCAACGGTTCAGGGTTTAGGGTTTAGGGTTCGGGTTTCGGGTTTCGGGTTTAGGGTTTTGGGTTTTGGGTTTATTTGGCATCCCACATGCCCCTCTCACGTGGAAGCACTTGGCTGAGACATGGCGCTGCTCCAGAAGAGGCTGCGTGCAGGGGGGACGGTGTACTATAGGCGTCGGAAAAATGACTAATAGTATTCCCATAAGGTCCCTCTATAATTATACTATCATAACCCCCAGAACCCTATTCACAGTATTCCCATATGGTCCCTACATGATGATACGATAATAACCCCCCCCCCACAACCCTATTCTAGTTATTCAGGCCCCTATATTGGAGGAGACGGCCCTGCAGACTTGTAGCAGCCTAGTTGCCGATGAGCAGGCCGCAAAGGAGAAGCAGATCACCAACCAGATCACACCCTTTGGCAAGCAGGCACCACAGCCACTACCACATCCGTTGGGTTTAGGGTTTAGGGTTTAGGGTTTAGGGTTTAGGGTTTAGGGTTTAGGGTTTAGGGTTTAGGGTTTAGGGTTTAGGGTTGAGGGTTGAGGGTTGAGGGTTGAGGGTTGAGGGTCGAGGGTTGAGGGTTGAGGGTTGAGGGTTGAGGGTTTAGGGTTTAGTGAATTTAGTTGTTTGGGGTTTAGTTTTTTAGGGTTTAGGGTTTAGGGTCTAGGGCCAAGCCCGCCCCCCGCTTCACACTCTGCTGTCACTTGCGCAGGACACGGCAACTGAGCTTCAAGACATTGCTTCGAAGAGCCAGGAGCATACCCCTTGAGACAGCCCGCGCGAAGATCTCCATACTGTGCAGCACGCGATGCTCTGGCTTTGCCATTGGTTCTAGGTTCAGGGCTTAGGGTTTCGGGGTTTCCTTGCGAAGTCTGGGTTGTTTTCGCAGTGTGAAGTCTTGTCTCTTAGTGTCAGGTGGGCACTGGGCATGAAGACCCCATGGGGCCTTCGAAAGCCACAAGACCCTCCCTTCCATGAACGTAGCATTCGGCGCTTTAGGAGGTTCGGTGTGCCTTTAGGGCTTCAGGACTTCCATGGCCCTGAGCATGACAGCCTTAGGAAACCCAGATCCTCACTCAGCCCTAAGCCCCCCCCTCCCCCCCCCCGAACCACCCCCCCTAAAGCCCAAGAGCTCTGTCAGAGGATACGCGAAATCCCTACACCCCCCTAACCCATCAAGCCCATCAAGTCCACAACTCCCTCAAAAGCCCCAGAACCCTAAACCCTAAACCCTAAACCCTAAACCCTAAACCCTAAACCCTAAACCCTAAACCCTAAACCCTAAACCCTAAACCCTAAACCCTAAACCCTAAACCCTAAACCCTAAACCCTAAACCCTAAACCCTAAACCCTAAGCTCAGCCGCAGGATACGCTGGTTGACGCCGTGGAAACCGCCGAGGTGGCGGAGGTCAAGCGGGCGGTGTTCCGCGCTCTGACCCGGCTACGCCTGGACCCGAGCCGTCAAGGGGGTTTGAAAAGTTACGTAGGGGTTTTGGGGTTCGGGCTTAGCGGTTTGGAGGTTTCGGGGTTTAGAGGTTGGGGGTTTAGAGGTTTGCGGTCTAATTCGGGGTTTAGGGTGTTTCTTGGGTTTTTCGGAAAACCCATCAATGCCTTTCTCCTCAAGAACCAACCAAACCAAACTCTTGACTCCAATTTCGAACCTGTAGGCCTCAAAGGGCCTCAGGTGCGGCGACCATCAAGGAGTTTGACACGATTGCCCGTCTGGAGACGCAGGTGCAGAGCGCAGTCGTGGTGCTACGCGCTGCTTGGGGGCTTCGGCGTCGTGCTTTCAAGGGACCCCTAAACCATCCTAAACCCTGAGCCCTAGGAACCCATGGAGCCCAGCACCTCTTAGTCAAAGGTTTAGGGTTTAGGGTTTAGGGTTTAGGGTTTAGGGTTTAGGGTTTTTGGGGTGTACCTGTCTCGGTTGTGAAGATCGATTCCTCGGCGGCCATTGGGCTCATCTGGGAGGCGCCTCTTCTCCCCCCCCCCCACCCCCTTCCCCGCCGCGTGAGTCCATCGACGCCTACAACGATGCGCACCACTACCGCTCGGAGAATCCCCTGGCGCACCTTCACGAGGACGGGCAAGTTCCCCTGCTTGGGAATGGGGTATCATACGCCCAAACCCCGAACCCCCAAACCCCCAAACCCCCAAACCGCCAAACCTCCAAACCCCCAAACCCCCAAACTCCCAAGCCCCCAAACCCCCAAACCCCCAAACTCCCAAACCCCCGACCCCTAAACCCTTGAACCCCAAACCCCCAAACCCTGCCCCTGAACCCCTACATAACCCTACCTAAACCCTAAACCCCAAGGGAGGGACCTGAGTTTCCCGACTTGGAGCCAGCAAAACCCGAGGATGAGGCGCCGGTGCAGACGGACAAGCTCAAGCCTGGAGCTTGGGGGTTGGGTTGGGGGGGGGGGGGGGGGAGTTTGGGGGTTTTTGGGGGTTTGGAGGGTTTTGGGAGTTTTGGGGGGTTTGGGGGTTTTGCGGGTTTGGAGGGTTTTGGGGGGTTTTGGTGGTTTTGGGGGGTTTTGGGGGTCTTTTGGGGGGCTTTTGGGGGGGGGGTTTGGGGTATAGGGTTTGGGGTGTAGGGTTTGGGGTTTACGTTTAGGATTTTGGGTTTGGAGTTTGTTTAGACATACTTTTTGCAAACGCATCTAAAGAATTCGAGAAACTTGCATATTCTGTCACAACCGTCATGACAGCGAACAAAGCAAATCCCACATAAACCAAAAGCTAACAACGAGTTGAAGTTGATAAAGGATGAAGCTAAGAGCCCAATAACCAACGGATCATACCTGGCAGACAAGTGTACAACTATGATCTATGTATGGAATGGAAGAACTGTTCTCAATTTTTTTGGATGCGAGGGCAGTAGGCAACATGAGACGAGAGGGCACCAAACGCGTACAGCCAACAGGAGCAGCAGCAATCGACACAATAACAAAAAATTGAGGCGTTGATTGCATGTTACCCTAATCCCTAAACCGTAAAACCCTAAGCCTGAAACCCCAGACCTAAGCCCTAAACGCCAAACCCTAAAGTTGCTGTTGTAAAGTTCTTTGTGACGGGCATACCCGAAATGAGGGTTCAAGCTTTGGGGGGTCATTTTCTACAAGGGTCGCTGTCCCCAGACCGCACGGTAGAGTCAACTAGCCAAGGATTTATGAGGTGTTGTTGTTTGGATTTCGGATTGGTTAGGATCGGGGATTGTGTTCTGGGACATGTTGGGGATGCTAGGAGGTGTGCTCTTTTGCTTTGTGGGCCTGGAAGAGTTGAATTGTTGGACCGGCTGAGAATTGGTGGTCTGGGCCCAACCACTGCCTGCTCTTAGACCCCTAAACCCTAAACCCTAAACCCTAAACCCTGGCCCTAAACCCTAAACCCTAAGCCCTAAACCCTAAACCCTAAACCCTAAACCCTAAACCCCAAACCCCAAACCCCAAACCCTAAACCCTAAACCCCTCAAGGATCTCCAGGGTCTTCGAGTTTCATCCCATGCCTAGGTCCTTCCACTGAGTGTCGCTGCAGCGACATGGCGCTGGCGCAGAACCAGAAATAGTGGGTCCTTGGCTTTGTGAACCCGAATTTGGGATGTTCCCCCTTAGACTAGCAGTCCTTAAGAGGGACTATGATAGGGGTTACTAGAATCCCTTTTGTATAAGGAGGAACATCCCAAGCCCGAACCCTAAACCCTAAGCCCCACACCCTTGCTGCAATCGTTGATTGCAGTGGCGAGATAGCATCCTAACAGTGGAACAAGAGCCCTGCCCGCCGTTTCCTGGCAGCTGCTGGCTCGCAGACCGACAAGCACACTCGATTAGATTTGGTATTCTGGATCGTTCTAATCATCATTCCATCGGGATCTTCAGGGGATTACCTAGAGATTGCTTGCCGAATAATGCCTGTGCCGTAACCATAGTTGCGAGCCACTGCAGAACGCTGGGTTGAGTGCCGCCGCTCATCGCGGCAGCTGTTGCCGCAACCCATGTGAGGTTCTCAGATCTTTCGCGCGCCAAACCCCCAAACCGAAGTTCCCTAAACGCCCTGAGCCCCCAAAACTCCACAACCCCCCAAAAAAGCCCTAAACCCTAAACCCTAAACCCTGAACCCTAAACCTTCAACCCTCAACCCTAAACCCCAAATGCCAAACCCGAAACCCGAAACCTTAAACCCGAAACCCTAAACCCTAAACCCTAAACCCTAGACCCTGCACGAGGCCGAGACCGCCTCGACCTCATGGTGCTGGCCGCATCCAAAAAGCAGGCAGCAGGGTAGGGTTTAGGGTTGAGGGTTGAGGGTTGAGGGTTGAGGGTTTAGGGTTTAGGGTTTAGGGTTTAGGGTTTAGGGTTTAGGGTTTAGGGTTTAGGGGTTTAGGGTTTAGGAGTTTGGCGGCGGGGTTTTGGCGATGAGGGTTTGGGGTTGAGAGTCTCGGCTGCAGCCTTTGAAGCAATCATTGCGGGTAAGGGCAGCCAGTGTCAGAG